GACTTGTCTAAGCCTGGGCGTACTACAGGCCTGCCGGCATCTGCAAACCCTCACGACCTTCCATTCCCACCGAGGTCAACGATGCGCCAGCTCTCAACCAGGCAGACATTGGCGTGGCCATGGGCATCCAAGGTACAGAGGTGGCTTGACAGTCGAGAATTGCCGTCGTCGATGGCTGTTCCTGGCATGATCTTGCAAAAGCGCCGGCTTGTCGTGAGGTCGCCAAGGGCGCTTCCGACATGTGCCGCGGCAGCGTTATTGCTGGGAGTCTTGGAGAGGAGTGATGTCAGGCTTTAAATTACATCTGCAAGTTGGCAGAGTGGCATCATTCTGGAACCCTCGGTTTGTCAACATGATGCTCGCGCCATCGGCTTGGACTTGCAGGGTCTTGACAGACGACAACTTCTGCTCCATTGTGAAAGCAGCGACTTGGCAAAACTGCCCGCCCCATCCAGTGGAGCAGCGGCACTCAATCCCTGTGAGGTCGAGAAGGGCCGTTCCATCTACTCTGGCATCCAGAAGTTCGTGGCCTTTATCATGTCGGTGCACATTGCAGAGGTCGGCTGCAGAGTTACGAAGTGTGCCCATTCCGCCGAACCCCGCGAGCTGAGGTGATGCAAATCTTCCTGTGCATCGTGGTTGGAATTCCCGTGCACCCGCATGTTTGGCAAACATGCCCTCCCTTCAACTCGTGCATGTTGATTCAAGGCATACCTGCACAGCAACGCATTGTTTGCTTGTAGAAAACCCTCCCGATATCGTGATGCAGTTTGTGCCGCAACAGCATAGCACCCCAAAGCACCGGTATTACACTCTCATTGTGAATTGGCGCGGCAGGTGATGCGCACGCCTCTGCAGATCCTTTTCCTGATTCTTGTCACCGACCTGCCTCCTTCGATTGCCCTCGGCATGGAGCCAGGCCGAGACGAGGAGGAAATGAATGGAGTTTGTAGTGGGGATTAGTAGGGTTTGCGCCATGAGGATTGGAACAGGCATTCGTGGGATGTGCATGTACGAGCAGGTCTTCTTTTGGAAAAAGGTAATAAGGGTGTGAATGTTGCATGCTTTACAAGCCGAAATGTCAAGCATGGCATTATCGGGTTTTTGTGGCGGCTGTCGTCTCCAATACAAATGCAAGGTGGATTTTCTATCATTTTTTCTTACTCGCCGCTGTTGCTTCATTCATGATTGCCGGCAGTACCCATGACAGTTACGATGGCTCTTGCCATCATCACCGCTTTTTCTCATTCACTTGTCCTCGCAGCATTGGTTGCGTGCCCCTCTCCCCATGACAGGCGAGGCCGACATCTTGGAACAGCGCCCGCGACCAAAGGCGGGCCGCTTGCAGTAGCGGAGCTTTCTCAAGTTATCATGGCCGTTGTTCTTCCAGACGTTCGAACTCCTGTGACAGCCACGGTCGGAGATGCCGAAGTAGTGACATCCCGTTATGCTTGCTGTGCACCGTTTCGGCACCTGGCAGGAAGAGCCCATTGTCCTCAACTGGAGACTCGGACAGTGCAAGAAGACGTCAGCAGAAAGCTGCCGATGTCATCCCAGTACGGAGTCCAAACAGAAGCTCTGAGAAGCTTGCAAAGCTCAAAGGATGTGGCTGGCCATGGTCATGAACGGAGGTGTTTTGACAGCGGCTCGGATGCACAAACGTGCAAGTTGGTCGCTGGGAGCAGCAGTTCATGTGAAGTGCGCGGCCGAACACTCACGGTTGCTCTAGCCTTTGCATGTATGCATCTTTGAGCATGGAGCAGTTGCAAGTGCACTCAGCTTGTCATCGTGGGCGTCTACCTCGTCTCCCTCATCAACTACTGCGAGGGTGAGATTCTTCAGGCAAACATCGGCCAACTGGAAGGCACCGGGCAATTGGGACAAGCACCGGGTTTAAATGAGGTGTGCGCTTCAGGCGCGAGCCAGATGCACGTCAGACTGGACTAGTTGCAGGGAGGAGTGTGCGACGCCGCACACAGGCGAACTAATGATGCTAGCATCATCCCACGATATTACACGTAGCCTTGTGCAGAACGGGGGCCACCTCTTCGTGCTTCAATAAGTATTTGAGTCGGCCTTCTAAGCCTCCAAGCTCCTGCCGCCCAGACTTCGAGATGAAGCGACCTGGCTGGAACGCAGCTGCGACGTAGCTTCGGTAGATGTCGTTCGCGACATCATCCTGATTTTCTTTGTTCTGGTGTCGGGAATCTGCCATGTCTGAGGCTGAGCAAAGCGCAGACCGTGGCTTTCATCTCCTTGGTGTGGTCGCCCGCTTCAGTAAAGAATTGGTCAGACTTGCCTGACATTTTGAAAAGCTTGCGCTGAACGCATGACCTCAGGTCCGAGAACATCCGGGCCTACATCTCTCGATCTTTCACAAACCACATGTGGAAGGATATTTTCGGGAACAAGCACATGCAGAAGGCCGGGCTCCAGATTTCGTGGGCCCAGAGTCCAGGGCGGGCCGGCGTTTGCGGGTGGACTGTGGCAGGCCATTGTCCTGGCACAGATCTGCCTCTATGCGGTGGCGCCACCTAGTCCTTGCAACTTTCGGACTAGCACTAGCCTATGCGGAGTTATATGCGGAGTTATAGAAGGGTTCTGCACGCTTCCGGTCCATGCCCCTGCAGATGGGTACCAGTAGATGCCAGGCAGTGTTGACCCCCTACTTGTCCGACAAGATCCTCGGGCTCCGTGGCTTGGAGATTGGCCTGAGCCTGAGGAAGCTGCCAGCCACCAAATCGACTTGCAGAGGATTGCAAAAACAACTGTATTTTTTGGCATCCAGGCGTGTTCGGATGGGTGCTGGCGATCGCCGGCCCTGTGGGCTGCTTCATCCTCTCAGAGGGATGCAAGATCATCAGCCGGGGGCCCACAACCTTCGTAAAGCAGCTATCTGGCAAAGAAAAGCCAGTCCCAAGTTCCGACGCCGCGACAACAACGCAAGATCTCTCGGAGCTGATAGGTGCCTACCAACTGAAGCAGTACCAGGCTCGATTGGTCAAGCATCTTGCGACATTCCGTGCCGACTCTTACGTCTCAGTAAGCTGACTCCAGTTACAGAGATTCCTTGCCTTGCCGGTCCCCGGTGCGCCGGTGGGCTTCGGCCTGTGCTCCAGGATTTCCTGGCAGCGAAGTTCGAAGCCTCGAAGGCGAAGGATTCCGGAAGACCAATGAAGGCCCCCAGCGAGCCGGGCCCAGACTCTCCAAGTGCAGTGCACCTTTCAGAAGAGCCCTGGGGGATTTTTTTCTGTAGCCCTCCTCCGGATAACGCAGGCCTCCGCGCTGAAGAACAAGCCACCTGGCGGCAGACGACGAACTCCTCTAAATGCCCAGCTCCAGGCTCAAGCAAGTCGCAGCCGTCTGGCCATGTTCTCGAATCAACTTAGGAAGACGATGGACGCCCCGGAAAAGTCCGCCAAGAAGGGCTGGTGCTGTTGGGCTACCTGACCCGCAGACATCACATAAAGCAGAGCTCTGGCAAGTGGACACAGAGGCCCTTCTGTGCCTAGCAGCCATGCTGCACAAAACCAAGGCCTGGTTCTGATGCATCGGCTTGCAGCAGTGCTTCTTCAAGGCACTGGCTACTCCTCGAGCCTTGTCATCGTCAGCAGTCCTTCATTTCGCTATACCCTCCCCGGCAGGAGCAAATATCAGATATCTTCTCTGTCCACCTCACGTGGACTCAGTGTTGATTTGTATAGTCACATGCCAGCGAAAAGCCCGTGAAATCTGAGAAGCGAAAGTGTGTCTATAGAGTCTATACATGCTCCAAGGTGTGCGTAGTTTCAGATGGGCGCTTTTAGTGTCTGGCGACTTTGAACAGCTGCCAGAGAGCAAATGCCTCTGGCGATGCTTTGTCATCGTGGGTTGAGTTTTTTCGAATCCGCTTTGTCTTCCACCTTGCCAAGACAGCCAGATGGTCTGCACCTCCTGCCAGATCGCTGTAGTGTCTGCACTGACATTTGAATTAGAGCCGAACTGTGGAGACTTGAGACTTGACGGCCGACGGGCCCAACGTCTACCAGCTCAGCTTCAAATCCAATCGGACCCGAAAGCAGCTGCACGAAGAGAAGCAGGCATGGACGAACGGTCACTGTAACACGACCCAATTGTCTCCACTCTGCGGTTCGTCGAAGATTCCCGGCTGGTTGCTAAGCACTTGCCACATACCCTAAGATGGCGGCTTCAGGAAGTGCCCCACGAGGACTAGACTGGAAACTTCATTTTGCCTTGCGCCGTGATGATGAAGCCGCACTCTTTATCCGCTTGTGTGTGCCTCTCTTCGCATGGCATGGCTGTCGCTAAGCACACAGCCACTTGCGATGGGCTTGATTCTATCCACCGGTGCAAAAATGATCAGATTAGGTTTTTCCAACTGATCCCCGAACTTGGATGCACCCATCACCCCAACCCGGTGGCTCGGTCGAGGCTGCACCCCAAGTCGCCAGTTGATTCATGCTGATTCCTGCAGATGCCGTGTTCAAACCTGTGCACTTTGTGCCCCAGAAACTTGACTGCTGCTTCAGGTTGCAGGAGAATCATTCCTTGCAAAGCCTGCGCAGCATAGGCGGACAGGTGAACCAACTGGCCCTCTGAAGTTATGCTGTGAAGCCAGTCGCCGTACCGCTGCTCGTCCAATTCCAGTATGCCATTGGCTAGGACAGGGTTCACTCGAGAGTGAGGGACGCAACTTGCTGTTCACATCTTTAGTGCACCGGCAGCGTGACGTGGCTGCTTTAGAGGATCGCACCAGTGTGTTTGCTGCGCGAGCCTCGCGCAGCAATGTTCCGTGATGAAGCTGTTTTACCTTCGCTGACGGACATCGCGCGAGGGCAACCGAGAGGAAAAATGGAAGCGTAAAGCCGTGCAGGCCCTGGAGGGTTGATCAGCATCAAAAAGATTCCACAGGACGCCAGCGGAACTCAGCAACATGAAAGTACATACAACAGCACCTGAAATTGTGACCCTGTGATCGCCTCTCCACTCCACTCACCAAGATCCTGATTGCCTCGCTGGCCGCCGGTTCTGTCAAACCCGGACATGATGCGAAGCAGATACTCGTCTGCATAAATCAGTTGTCCGTACATGCAATCATGTTTCCTGATGTTACGCGTCTTTTCTACTGAGCGAAGGCATTCTCGACACCATGTTTAAAATCTGATGCCGCGCTCTGCTCTAAGGCGTTGCTCCGAAGGCATGCCCAAGGTGGCTGCATGGCTTGAGCCTTGCACGAGCAACAGAAGAAAAGGTCACTCTCCTTCTTTTGGCATGTGCTGTCTGGTGGGAGCAAGACCTCCCCCGCCTTGCAAGAAGTCAAGTCGCAGAAGTTGATTGACCCTGCAGCTCATTGGCTCATGACCAATGAGCCGGCACGGGCCCGGCCGGTGCAAGAGCAGGGTACGGAGCTCGAAGATCCAGCTCCAGCTTTGCGACTTCGGTTCACAGCCTCATGATGGCTTCTTTCGTAGACCAACCCCGAAACAAACAACCTTGAGGCCGGCGATAGTTGATGTCCTCATCTGCACGGCTGAAGTACCGGATCGTCAAATGCACCTCCGAGGCCATGGGTAGTCCGTCCGCTCCAATAAACATGCTTGTTCAGCCCGGGCGAGCATGCCGTTCGAGTTTGGTGTTGCAGGACCCCGAGTATCCAGCGTCCGAGCTCCTGACGCATTCATCCCAGACCAAGGGATGGCAGACCGCTCGCTTCTGCGACTTCCCGCAGGAGCCGAGAACGGAAGACGCGTGCGTGCCAGTTTGTGGGGTGGGGTTTGGTTTGGGGTCAAAGAAAAGTGATGTTGCCGCCTCAGGAGATAGGGCTGCAGTTCGAGACGCCAGTTCACTTGCGGCAGGCAGAGACACTATGGCAGTTGTTCTGTGTGGGAGGGACTATCACCGCTTTAACCTAGGCACTCGTCCAAATCTTGCAGCTCTACTGCTCAAAATCGTTCTTGCCAGCCCGCACGTGCATATCGCATGACAAGCTCAAGGCAGCAGGCAGGTGGAACCTCGCACCTGTGAACAACAGCAACTCGCGACAAAGCTTGCAATGGCAGATGAGCTTGAGCCCCCCTTTCGTTGAGGAGCTCATTCCCTACGACCCGAAAGAATTCGATTTCGTGTCACACATTCAGGACATACTGGAGCCTCCAGAGGCACACATCGGAGACCTGGAACAAGCAGAGGGGGAAGGTGGGCTCGCGACCCTGAGCCAGATTCATCGATGGTTTCGACACAGCGGCAAGAGACGGCCACGCATGCGCTGCCAACTTGTGCACACTGACTTCATCGAAACCTATCATCGCTTCGTTCGCACGGTCGTGAGATCGAATCTCGAAGAGGCGGTCGTCCTGTTCGAGCGTTGTCCGAATCTGCGAATCCATTTAGCCGGTGAAAAATCTTTAACGGCTCCCCACAGGGACAAAGACCATCACCACTCAGAGGCGGAGCTGAACTTCTGGGTTCCCCTGACGAGCTGCTATGGTGGTGCAAGCCTCTGGGTCGAGTCTATGCCGGGGAAAGGCGATTTCCATGCTCTGACTGTCGAGCCCGGCGTGGCAGTGCGCTTTTATGGAAACCAGTGCCTGCATTTCACCAAAGATAACGATACAGACCTCACCCGAGTCTCTTTCGACTTTCGGGTGGTGCGACTTCGGGACTTGGGCTGGTCAAAAATACCTCACCCGGGATCCCCGGAAGCAGCGCGATGGATGATTTTCTCGTACTATGATGTGATGGGTGCTGATGGTCGTGTTCTCAGCCCGGACGAGTGGACCAGCCAAGTGGCACCGTGCCTGCCCGATCTGTCAACAACAGCTGGAAATGGATATCACCAGCCAGCTCGGCCAACCAGCTGCCGCCAGCGTTCGCGGTCACCAGAGCACCTCAAAAAATGCGAAGCAAAGTGGGGATCTGCGAGACAAGCGAGGAAAAACTGTGCGCGCTGTGGTTGGCTGGCCAACCGGGCGCAGCTTGAACAAGTTCTTTGCTACATGGATTCCAGTGGCATAGCGAGGCCGTGGGTTGTGGAGAATCCGGACAGCTACCAACCGTGGGGTTTGGGATGTCTCCTCTGTCATCGAGCCTTCTTGGCGGGGCCCGGGGACCAAAGTGCACCCTGGCCTTCTAAATCTGCTTTCACAGACTTCACGTATGGCCTTGGAATGCCAGGGCTCCTGCAGCAGCCCCTGTACCGGCATGGTAATCATGCCAGGCTCCAGGCCGCTGGTCGCAGTCAAACACAGCTGGTGCTTCCGCAGAACCCGGAGCATGCAGCCGCAGCAGCCGCAGCCCAGATGATTCCACTTTGACATCGGAATGCTTCAAGACGCAAACGACGCGTGGACAGCAGGTATGGCAGATGCAAGAGCAGCTGTGCAGAGCTTGGAGGAAGCCGACTTCAATGTAAGTGAAGCCGGTAGGCGGAATCATTGAACATGAAGGCATTAAGCAGTCCAGCTTGTTCCAGGCATGCAGCAAAACAGGAGTGTTGACAGCAGCCATTTTGTTTGAACACTGTCGGCTAGCACGCAACCCTACCCTACCCCGAAGTCGGGCCTCTCGACGCGCAGGTGCAGTTCTTGTCTCATCAGAGTAAGTGCTTCGGCTGCACCAAGCTTCGCACGATGGAGATGGGTGCAGGGTTCTTTGCAGAGTGAGTGTTTCTCTGGCATCGAATAATCTGCAACTTTGCAAGCAAAGGATAGCGACAAAGATCGACCTCTACACGGCGATGCCTGCTGCAGGCAAGGTCGAATCGCCTTTGGCCGGATCAAAACTCTTCACACCTTGTAAAGGCCAAGCCTCTACCTACGATGCTTTGAGCTTCAAAAGGCGTGGCAAACTGGGTCAGATTGGCACGGGTTTTTCCAAGACCGGACCTGTGCAGGTTAGGCTACCTGTCGCTGGATAGTAATGAGCGCTCCCAGTTTCAAGCTCGGGAGCTGAAAAGTGCTCCTCACCTGCATACAAGACATACAAGGAACACGTTCACCAAGCGTATCTGGCTGGCGACCCCTTGTCTGAGGTGTATGTTGACGCGGCATCCTCAGCAGTCTTTCCTCTGGTATACGGTTGCTCCGCAAGAGGAGTAGTTCTTAGCAGCTGGACAAACATGCTCCATAGTTGTAGGGCCGGTGGAGCATCATGTTTTTCCGAGAGCCGAGTTGACGCTGAATGAGGTTTCTGCACAGTACATGAAGATCTTGTTTCACAAGTGCCCCCGACTTGTTTCACGCATCAGATTTCTATGTAATAGAGTGAAGAAGGTTCGCCGCCTTGCAGGTGCCATGTCAACCGGTACAACATCGTGAACCAGGCTCCAGCATGCTCCAGCTTGGTAAAAGTCTCGAGGGAGGCTGAGCCGGTAAAGCCTTTGTATGCAGGTTGGCCTCATAGCGCTGAACTGCTTGGGCGAGGCACTAGGGCTCCTTGGACCGAATGTGCGGCCATACCCGTTTCAGAGGAGACCCTGCGGCAAACTGAGGCCTGACCTGGCAATGGGACCCCCGCCTCCCAACCCAGCGCTGGCGCGAGGGCCGGAAGCTTTGAAGCCAGGAAATCCGTCGACAAGGGCCCAGCTGCTCAGCTCAGGCCAACGAACGGCTACCAGCCGCCGCAAGCATCGTCGCCTCCACCACCACAGCCGTCCGTGCAGGACGCGTATGCAGCTCCTCTGCGATTTGTGTGTGCCAGCACAATTGCTACACTGAGTGGGGCGGCAGAGGAGTCTGAATGTCCGGGAGCTGCAGCTACTGGGTAAATGTCTTGTCTGAGTCCAGTGATCTAGTGCTCAGCTGCACGAGAATCGCGCTTGGGGGGGGGACTTTCGACCTCAGTTCAGTGAGAGGGGTCTGCCTTGACCTAGCAGTCACGTGAGTGCAGGATGCTGCACAGGCTGCAGCAGATGAAATGCGCCTCGGCATCCGCAGAAGACGGGTGTGGGATCTTTGCCGACCCAGTGCCAAGAGTGGCAGGTATCGAGCACCTCTAGCAAATGGTTGGGAAGGTGCAGAAGCCTTCAATCTATACAGCCACTGTAGAGCAGATTTAAGTTGCCAATTCGAGAGAGAAGGAGACGGGATAAGCCCAGGTAAGCCCTTGGGATGTCTAGCAGCGCTATGGGTTGCCTTCCTTATTTCTTGAGTTATATGCCAACAATCGTAAAATACTGATCTGCAGTCTCTTCTGCAGAAGGTGGTCGGGTTTCTGAAGATGCTATGGCGCATAGGTTGGTTTGTTCTGCGGTCCTCAGGCGATACGATGCTCAGACATTGGAGCGAATCCGCTCTTTGTCGAACGCGAAGGCCGTAGCACGTGAAAGTCTAATGCATCGTGTGTGGTGCATGACGTTGCATGTGGGGTATGGCACGGGCTTCAGGGTGGCATCCAGACACACTTTCTCTGTGGCCAGTGTTCAAAGTCGCGCGCAAGGCGAGAGCCGTTGATGCCGAGGACTACGAGGAGGCGAAGCGTTGCAAAGAGATGCTCGCCAGGCCGGACAAAACCCGGAAAACTCCCCCCCACGTCATTTGTACGTCTACAATCGTCTACATATAGTGCATATGTACATACATGCATACAGGCATACAGATGCATGCCTACATGTACAGCTGCACACAAGAGTTTCAATTGAGCGCATGTCACTGCGTGACATCTGTGTGGGAATAAGGCTGCGCCAGACCGGCCTCCTACTCCGCGAGCTTGAGGCCTTGGCTTGGACTCCTTACGCGGCTTTTCATTGTGGAAAGCTTTGTTTCAGAGGACCGGAAGAAGGCAGCGGTACAAAACGAAGATTATGATGCCGCCAAAGCTCTGAAAAGCGAGATCGATCGGCTTCGCAGCTGGACTGCAGTCTGGCCTGAATTTGGCAACTGCAGCCCGAGCACCGGGCTTTGCCAGGTAGTGCAATCGAGCGGCCAGAGGTACGGGCTGAGCGACCGCATTCCGGAAGGCCTTGTGTCCTTGCCTTTTGCTATGTCTCGCCAAGCACTGCCGAAAGCATGGAGGAGTGCACGCAGCAACAGCCTCGGGCCGAACAGCCGCGTGGGCCCCAGCTCACGGACAGGCCAAGCTTCAACCAGACTACCACTCGCACACTAGCCTCAAAGATTCTGCGATTGGCAGGCGCCGGTGCCGGAAGCCCCGATTTTGCCAGCCACCACAGCGCCCCTCGTGGTGGACACCAGCCACAAATGGTTCCGCTGAGTCAGGACAGCGAGGCGGGATCTTAGCTTCAGTCCGCATGCTTCGTTCTGTCGTGGACCGTGGAGGTAACTCGGGAAGTGTTTGGAAATGAGGCAGTGGCGCAAGCACCACCTTCTCGTGGCAAGCGCTCACCCTCTCCGAGTCTTCCGGCTTTCCCGTTGGAGGTGCCGCAGGGCCAAGCTCCACCTTCTGTTCTGTCTGTGCCTGGCCAGGAGGGCTACCAGGCCGAAGTCCCGAGACGAGAGGCGAGAAGAGGATACGATGCACTTGGTTGAGACCGGAGAAGACTTGGATGCGCAGGCGGCCAACTCTCCGCCTTTGCCAGCCGCGGGCGGGGCGCGAGTGGCGCGAACTCCACCCCTTTCCGGTATGGCCTCTGCACGGAGCGTGGCTCGGAAAGCTTTAGTGGGTTAAAGCTTGTGTAGGGCCTAGGGGGTTCCGAGCGGACATCGTCATGGAATGCGGGAGGCGGAGTGTTATAGCTTGGTGACGCAACTCGTGCGCATGGCAGCCTTTGCCGGCGCAGCAGGAAGAGTGGTAAAATCAGAGACATTCCCGAGGCTCCTAAGGAGCTGCCACCGGAGCAGCCGCCGCTGTCTGAGCGCGGCTTTGATGCAGCTGACCATCCACTGAGCGGCGTGCCCAACGTGGAGGCACCATTCAACAACTGCTGCATGGTATGAGCTTGAAGCGGGGCTTAAGAGTTTAGAGACAGAGCCCGGGCATTTCCAGACAGGTCTGAGAGTGCTCTCTGAGGGGGCTGCTTTTGCTTCTGTGAGGGGCTTAGGGCCTAGGATGGAACCTTTCGAGGCTTGCAGGTTTCCCCGCCAAGACGAGTCAGCAGAGTTCGACGGGGTCAGCCTTACCGCGAGCGGGCTGAAACCGACTCAAGGTTAGCTTGACAAAAGAAGATGTTTGGCAATGTCTTACGTATGGGGAAAAGAATCAGAAGTCCTGGAGTTGTCCCGGAGTTATCCTGTTGTCGCAGGACCTCAGCCAGCCTGAGCCGCTGAACAGCAACTTCCAAAAGGAAGCGGAGCCGCTCATCCAGCTGTTCGGCGAGTACCTCACAAACTGTGTCTATTCCAAGGACTGACCTGGAGTGGTGCTCTGCGCTCTGCTCTGCTTAGTGCACGTGTGCACCACAGGCATGGAGCTTGCGAGATGCTGCGCTGCAGAAACTAACACTGGATCTGCAAAACGGCGAGCACCAGCCTCCTGCTTGGATGTGGTGCCAGAGGGGCGCGCAGGGGCCACTTGCTGACAGCACCAAGGTCGACGGATCAGAGCCGGCTGCTTGCAGGCTACGTGATCGTGCTGAAGAGGATGGTGCCGGACAAGAATGTTCAGGTCGAAGCAGAATGTCTGGCAGCAGCGACTGCCGCTGTTTGTCACGAGGTGTTCCTTGCTGCAGCGGCGCTGCTGCACACGGTCTGCCAGGCCAGGCCAGTGATCCGCAAAATTTGCCGGGCTGCGGCGGGCTGCGGGCTTGCAATTCCCAGGAGCTCTTGGGCCGCTCCGGGCCCAGGCGTGCGGAGGCCAGAGACAGGGCGGCAGGGCGGCAACGTGTACTGGCGCACGACTCTAGAACCAGAACATGCCAGCGGTAATGTTGCAGGTCTCTAGCAGGGCGTGTCTGTTTGGTTTTGTGATCTCTTGCACAGGCCGTGAGCCTATGCTGGGCAAATCTGGGCTATTGCATAGCTCGATCAGAACTTTATGCGGCAAGCACGATGTCTCTGATTTTTCTCTCCAGGCTCATTCTGCTTTGGACCCCTTGATGCCATTATTGGTGGATCGCTTGGGAGACAGCAACGCGCTGTTCTTAGACGGCTTGATGGGGGTCCTTGTGGGGGAAGGAATCATTTTCAGAGACTGCTGCCGAATCTACTGGAGCGCCCAGCTGCTTACATGGAGTTGTTTGCCGCAGCGTGTTGGCCAGAAGCACATACGGACTTTGCAGTGTCGGTGGAGTGGAATGGCGCCTGAATCTGCTGGGCCTCGCTGAGCGTCATGGAAGGAACTTTGCCTGTAGGACGGTTTCAGCGGCGCAGCCGGCGGCGTGGGGGAGCTTCCTACGTTTTCATGAAGTGGCTTCGGGCGAAATTTTGCCCCCAACAAGACGATGTGTGCGATGCAGCTTCACCAGTTAACTTTTCGGGCAGGTGGCTAGTGGAAACCTTTGGGATAGACTTCCTCCGCGGTGGCTCAGGTGGCCAGACTTGCATTGTTTCGGTCGGTCGTAAGTCGTAAGGGTACAGCTCCCTGCGGTTTGCCCTTGTATGCACTTCTGGTCTGAAGGTGTTCTGGAAATCTCAGCTGGCAAAGGCGAGCTCGCATGTTCCCTTCGCAACCGCCGCGTGGCTTTCAATTGCGGTGTCGCACTGTGTGCGCCGACTCAGAGAGGCCCTCGCGTTCACAAAATCTGAGAGCCTGTCAGGCTACGGCGTTCCTGTCACAGCCGTTGAGCCACGGTCCCTGGACCTACGGAAATGCCGGGAGCCCCTTCGCAGAGACCAACGCTCAGCAGAAGCACGGATACAACATGATAAACAATCCACTTGCTAGCATTATGCCCGTGTGTATAGGCATACTCGAGGACATGTCCTGTATATCTGTGTTTTCTTGTGTATACCTACATGCATGTATACATACACACGACGTCACACAACTTGTGCAATCACATGTAGAGTTTCAGTTTACAGGTATACGTATATTAGTACATGTGCACATATGCGTATACGTATAGGTATACGTATACGTAATGTATATGTACATACATTCATACATACATACGCCCCAACACTTATGCTTATACATATACGCAGCTCAGTGTGTGTGTGTGTGTGCGGACGGTTGCGATCAACAGGTTGACACTTATGTACATATGTATGAGTACAACAAGAAGTATGTATGTATGTACACACGTATTAAGAAACATAGCAAAATAATAGCAGTAATAACGACAATAAAAAAGGAATAATAATACCAAGAAGAAGACGAAGACTACGACTACGGCGAAGACGAAGACTAAGACTAAGAATATTAATACGAATACGAGTTCCAAGACTAATCCAAATACTAATACCAATCTTACCCATACTAACAAATAAGAATAGTAATCATAAGAATCATCATAATATTAACAATAATGCTAGTATGAACGATTGCAACAGTAACACTAACAACAAGTACTCATGGTGATGATAGTGATAATAGTCATGAGCACCACCGCCATAGAGTAGAGATAGATGTACCTGTGTCAAACTGTTTACCTGCATACGCGAATGCTTACGTATGCATGTGCGCGCACGCACGCACACACGCAGACAGCGAAACACAGAGACAAAGAGACAGACAGACAGGCACGCAGCAAGGAGCTTTGGTGTGCCACCTGTGCTGAGGCCATCAGCGGCTGAAGTGGTCCCAGGAGTCAGCGGCGGCACGAGGAGTCGAGCACCGCTGCCGGCTGTTTAGTTTAGTTTGTCCTCCGTTTGCGGCATTGCTGTGCAGGTCTCGACACGCTCGACGCACCCACGCTCCCGTGTGCTCTCCACTGCAGCCAGCTTGAAAATGAGAGGCCATGGCTGCTGCTGCTTTTTGAGGTTGTCGCAGCCCGGAGATTGTTGCGCCCCGCCACCTACGGATCTTTTGGCACGCCGGCGTTTGGAAGGCTGGCAGTTGCCAAGATGGCAGAGAAAAGTTGTGACGAATGATACTACTGATAACACTGATAGCACTGCTGACACGTTTTTGCTTGTATCGTGCCCACCAGTGGGCCAGGACCAGCGCTCACTGCATGCTGCATGGGCCGCAGCACATGCAGCAATCCCTTCTGGTATTACATGCTGTGTGTTTCGGCACCTGCTCATATAGCTGGTGCTGAAGATGGCCTGGCTGGGACGTACATGTACGCTTGTGCCAGGTGCGCTGGTCTTCGCAAGGATTGACCGAGACAGAGACGGAGGTCGATCACGAGAAGCAGGCTGGAGCACGAGATGTCAGCGTGGTTGTGACGAATCCCACGCAGTGTTTGCACAGGAGGCCTACCTGGATAAGGGTGTGCCTTTTCGACAGTCTACACTCTGGGCCGAGTCCGATGAGCCAGGCAGTGCTGGCAAGCCTGTAAGCTAGAGACTTGACGGTCTCAGACAGTAACCTCCCACATTGCCCGTGCAGCTTGGGATGATGCAGAAGAGTCTGCGCTGCCGGAAGGAGGGATAGCGCCTGGGCTGCCATCTATAGCTGAGGATTTCCAGATATGGATGTCCGAGTGAGCCCCGAGGGAGCCTCGCGCCAAATGTGTGTCAAAACTGTTTCGCATGTCCTTCGATCCGTTTTGTTCCGCTTCCCACAGCGGTAACATCAAAGGTTTCTGACGAGGACTTCAAGGAAACGGAGTTGGACGAAACAGGTCGGTCTGCCTTCTGTACTTTCCTAAGCCTGTACCTTTGGGATTGCTTGACTTGGCAGCAGTCGGCAGCAGGCCGTGTGCTGGAGCTTGGTGGTGGCCTGAAGCCGCCGTCCTTGGCGATGGTTCGACGCCTCTGTACCGGCTGCAGCTGCGCGGCTGAACAAGCTTAGCAGACAGTTTTCAGTTTTCATTGCGCAGAGCAGCAGATGACAGGTTCCTTTCGCAGCCAGAACCCTCTATTCACTTGCTGAAGCGAAGCCGTCGAGAATGTTTCCGTAAATTCCCTTCAGCAGTTGCCGAGGCGCTAGGCCCTAGGCAGTGTTTCATCTGCTATTGCTGCCACTGTGGCTTCATCGTGATTTTGCTTTCTGCCGAGTCAGAGGTTGTGTGGTGGCGCTTCATGCAGATCAAGCTGCCGAGGGTGCTGTCCGCTTTGCTGCCGAGACGCTTTTCGACAATTTAAGCTTCAAACTTGCACGCCGAGCGTTGCGGAATGGGAGGGATCAGGGCCTTGCAGATCTCTCAGCCAAGGCATGGCCTTGCCTTCGCCGTTGTGCCCTGCTGTGTGGCCAGGCTGAGAGTTCCCGGCATGACTTTGCAGATGTCAGCTTCGGTTTATGGGTGTCGGGGAGTACAGAATCCCAGGTGTACGCAGAAGACTTCCCGAAGAGACGCCTGCCCGACGGACGGCCAGTCACATCCCTCAACGCGCTGATCGAGTATTTGACCTGGTTGGGTGGCGAGGAGGCGAAGGCGGGGCCGGGGCCAAAGCACAGAAGGTGGTGCATTCCCATTTAAAAAGATGGTCGGAAAAGCAAAGTTGATCAGTTTGCGACACTTGCGACTTGATGCCTGTCCTGTGGCAGGTGGAAACCCTGCAGTTCAGTGGCAAAAACGTCGTCGTCTTTTCGAAGCCGAAGTGCCCAGTGACTGCAGCTTCTACACTCGTTTAGCCGGCCGACAGGCGGTTTCAGACTCGTGCCTTTCTACGACATCCCGCCACGACGGCGTGCTCGACAGCTAGTGCGATGAACAACGTCATCAAGATGTGGCACGCAAGGTTTGGTCTGCTGCCAGCCGCTTGCCTTCATGCAACAGGCCCGGCAAGCGAGATAGGACATGATAGGACTGCTTTCCAAAATTCTTGCCCCTGCCGATGGGCGTCACGAAGAACTTTTATCTCGTTCAGCTCAGCAATGCCATCGCGTGCCTATCTTCTTGGTCTCGGAGCAGAAAGCTGTTGAGCTATCATGTTGGTCGCCGCAGTGTGGCACAGGGAAGCTGCCCTGGGTGAGGAGTGGCCATCCGCCAGCAGGACAGCTCAAGCTTGGCCTGGCAGGCGACAGAAAAAGCCGAGTGTCGGAGTTCTTCGCCTGGTCACACCGGCGATCGACATAGCCTGTAGCCCCATGCCTTCTAAGGCTCGAGTAGACAAAGCGGCCAGGCACGTGCTTGCTCAGCAGTTTAACGTTGTGCCTTGTTCTGCTGTTAGCTATGAAGGCAGCACATTTGAAGCACTGCGACCTGTAGGGATGCTCACTTGTGCGACTTGATGCGTTGTGCTACGGTCGGCAGCGTGCTCAGCTCCGGGGCATACCTTAGAGCCTCCTCGCAAGGCATCGCGGCTTCGCACTGTAGCCAAGGTGCCACTTTCACGGCGCAGTACCTGCTCAGGTGGGCAGAAGTGATGTTTGCGTGACTTGGTTAGGGGCTTTCTAGAATGGACAGGCCGCCCAAGAAGAAATCGGTGAACCCTCGCGTGCAGAGCTCGGAGCCCCTCAATCCAGGTGCCAACAAGTAAGCTTAACGTTGCGCTTCGCTTCTGCCGGCTCTACTATGTCTTGAACTTTTGAAAAAAGCATGTCGCAGAGCAGAGTGCAGTCCCGCTCCCTTTCAACATGGTGCATCAGGTCTACATCTCGCGGATGCAGCTGCTGACAAGCATGGTCACCGAGGCGATGCATCAACATCCCGATGTGTACAGTACATAACTTGATGGTGGGCTGGGCCCTGGGCTTGTCGGAGGCAGGCATTCAGCCAGAGAGCAAGGAAGGCTTGCCTCTGGACCCAACGGTGCAGCTGGCCATGGACTGGTGCAAGGCTTAAGCACCGCTTGCCGCGGACCGGCGCACCGTCGGATCACGAAGTTGGCGGCTATGATGCCGCTCTTTCCAACAATGACTAAGGTTCAACAACGCCAATGCTGACGTCAGGGAGAGCGCGCCAAGCCCAGTCACGAAATGTCGAAAAGAGATGCACATTTTGCAAGAGCGCCGTGCATTGTCCGGTTAGTCAGCTTCAGGCAGTGAAACTGGTCGCCGCTTGCTATGCCCATGCTGGCCTGCGTCGCATTGCTTCCTGGATGATCCACTTCGGTGTGTTTGGCGGCAGCAGCATCGAGCAGCAGTATCGCAGCGCAGCGCCCAGGAGCAGTACCTGGCAAAGCTGCGGCAGGTGCGACGGTGCGGCTGAGTTAAACTCCAGGGCCTGGAGGGCGTTAAACTCCACGCAGGCGCAGCGAGAGATCTTCGACGAGGAGTTCGACCGCGTGGATGCAGGCAAAGACGTCCAAGAGCTCGGGCATGGGAGCCTTTCCATTCGTCTTTGGGGGCGGGGGGGATTTTTGGGGGGGGTTTTGGGGATTGTTTTGTAGGTGATGGCCTCGGAGCCGGTGGCGATGATGGCTTGCAGCAAGAGACCGCAAGGAGAGGCCGAGAGGCTCTTCAAGGAAGCTTCCCAGTTACACGGACGGGGGTCGGCTTGAGGACACAGCGCACGGCCCGAACAGCCGGCAGCAACCGGTCGACCCCGAAAGGCCCCGTTGCCGCGTTGCAGGAGCTTCACTCTACAAGAACCGCAAGCTCACGAGGGCTAGTACCGTTACCGTTACGCGCTTTTTCAAGATAATTGCATGTTTATTTGCTGATTCAAAAGGTGATTCCAAGGCACGATCGGCCATAATCGGCCAGTTTGATGATGTGCTTAATACATGTGGTTGTGGACATTGACATGTCGTCGAAGAATAGCTGCCGGAACGCCCCCCTGAGCGCGAAGCCTCGTGTCCTTTCCGCAGCTTGGCTCGAGATGTGACCGACCAGCAGTTGCACCGCTCCAGCGGTGAATGGCGAAGGTGAAGAAGCAGAATTTGAAGAAGAAAGCAAGCCAGGCTTGCATACTGACAAGTGACACTGCCAGCAGTGCTGCATTTGCATTGACTCGGGCTCACAACAGGGAAAGGCTGCTGCAAAAGGCAAGCCAGGCAAGAGCGGAGGCGCTTTGGCTGCACTTCATGGACCACCAGCCGAAGCCAAGACAGTGCTCCGCAAGGTGCAGGCGGAGGTGGCTCCGGCGTCCCGACTAACAAGAAGTTCGGTGGCCTGGCAGAATCGCTTACGCTGCATGTCTTTCTTTTTTGACAGCATGCAGCATGCACGGAGAGGCCATGAGAGGCCCAGGTTGTACAGGATTCCTGGACATGGTCAGATAATGTCGCACAAGCCTCGGTCGTGTTCGCATTTTGGCTTCAAGCCGCCCCGGCAGCTACTTCCTAGAGAGGAAACGGCAACTGGCCTGTTTATCCCCTCGCTCATTGAAGCAATTTCCGTAGCAATGCAGTTGACTTTGCTCCACGCGCTTTTCTCATTGGCCGCTGCTGGGAAGTTCCATTCCCTCAGCCGGGCGACTCTGAGCGTGGACACGTCTACTTCAGTCAATGCATCTGGACATGCCTAGCAGTCTTTTTGCATGAGGAAGCTGCGAAGTCGCACAGTAACAGGAGACAGACCACATATGACCACATGCTGTGGCTCTCCGAATGAGGCGAGCCGCTCCACACCAATCTCGCTTTATTCAAAGCCGCCAGCTTGTCACGAAAAGAAGGTCGTGGGCTCCAGTGACGACAAGCCCCTCGGGATTCTACAGTTTTTAAAAGATGAGAGGTTTTCTGCAAGACTGCCAAATACAATCCGAGGTTCCTGCAGTGCCCGAAGGAGTGCCCAATCTATGCCGATGACCGTGCAGATGGGGTGGACTGCAACTTCGAGTGCGTGGAAGCAACTCCGAAGGTATCGAACAGCCAGTTTGCAAGCTGCCTTGAGCCTTAAGCAACCCTGCAGTGTAACAGTAGGAAACACAACCGACCTGAAGCCATGCCTGCCTGCGAGCGAGTGTGTGAGTCGAAGCAAGCCTTAAAGCCTTCAGCGTCGTGCCCCCATTACGCTGTTTGGAAACGCAGGCGTGTACGGCCGTGAACGCCAAAGAGCCTGTCCCTGATGCCGAGCGTGGCATCTGCCGCGCCTGCATCATCTACGGCTGCAAGACCTGCACCACGGAAGGTCAAGATACTTGCGCTACCTGCGAGTCGGGTTTCAAGCTCAACGCCGCTGGAAAGTGTGAGAGCACCAACACGCAGCTTGAGCCGTAATGATGTGGATTCTGGTTCGGTCTTTTGCATTCTTGGATTGCTTCAGTGAGCCGTGAAACCAAGCACCTTCAGGTACTACTGGTATGCTCTCTTTGCAGTGCTTGGCCTTGTGGCTCTGTTCATTGTCGGCTGGATTGTCGACATTGCTCGACGTCCCGTTGTCAACGCTCAAGGGCTCAAGGGCGCACTTGATGCGCGCTCGCGTTCCAAGGCGGGCCAGTGCTTTCCTAAAGACGCCGAAGACTCTTGCCAAAATGCTTTGAAGGTGCGAATGCCCAAGCAGTTCGGCTCCGACGAAGGACGGGACCTTTACCCTCTGGACACCAACCTCCTGAAGACGCCTGTGGCCGGCATTGGAGTGCAGCTCCACTTCAACTTCCAGCTACTTAGATGCAGGGTCCAGTGTTTCCTATCGCTATATCATTGTCATCATTGTCAAAATGTGTCAGCGGGGACGGTGGAAGTTGACTGTTTCATCTCACCGATGGTCAGCAAAGGTTCTTCCTCATCGTGTGGGCGCTTGCAATCGGCTTGGCTTGGCTGATTCTTGCACTTTCTGTGGACGATGCTCTGCTGATCCTCGGAACTCGAAGGGCTAAGACGGCTCGACAGAACTGCATTCTCGTCGGCCACTCAGATTCACAGGCACTTCAACAACTCCTTGTGCGCCCAAAATCAGCAATTCTGTCCGAGGTTGCCTGGGGCTTCGAGACACAGCAGCGCTTGATGTGGACGAAGATCGACTTTGTGGTGGGGCTGTTCGGAACACAACAGGGTTGATCAGGGTTTCATGCAGGTCATGCCACCCCTTCTAGCTACGGATCAGAAAGAGAACCTGCCGAAATTCTCTCAGTTCTCTTCATCTTGCAGGTGTGCGCCTACATCCTCACCTTCCTGGGCTGTTTGGCCTTTGGCGTCCGTCAGCTGCGCATTTTCCAGAAGGCTACCTTGAATTGGTTCTAAGCTTCTTCTGAGCATGGACGGGGGTGGCGTGTGTGAGTCGTGACGGTCGTGAATCAAGCAGGGCGGCTTGAAGTTTCGGCCAGATTGAAGCTCTGGTGACTCTGGTACTTGGTGTGCACACCGTCTCTTTGGGAACCATAAGGAGGGCACACAGGCATCTGTTGAGTTGCTCTAAAGGGAAAGGCAGTAAGATGTCTGAAGCATCCTGTGACTGGATGGGCCGCAGGTGGACATGCAAAACTCCACCCACAAGGACTACGCCGCCCGAGTGCGCAACCTGCCGCCGCTTTCCTAAATGATCCCCAATGAGCCGACCGCGCACCATGAACGTCATCTGTCGAGTCCGACCATGAAAGCACTCGACAGAGGATGTCGTTTAGACTTTCGACATTAGACCTTACGAGGTTGATGGATGGCACAGAGCCCGTGGAGGAGGAGCTTAAGAAGCGGATCGAGGATACTACGGGGCAAAAGGTGGGAGATTTTACGTGTAGAAGAGTGGGGCAGGTGGTTGCACTTTGGCAACGTGTGGCCACCCCGGCAGGTCGTCGGCGTCTCCGTATGCTGGGACTTTCAGGAGCATGAGGATGAACTCATGGAGCTCATTGAGAGCAAACTCGTCGAGAAGGAGGAGAGACTTCACCCGGCTCCCGCGAGTGACGCCGGCACTGATGAGTAGAATCACACATACTTCGAAGTCTGTCATAGGAGGGTATGTTCGGGTCTTGTTTGATGCGGTGGCCAAGTCCAAGGTGAGGAGGAGCATCCCGAGCCCGAAAGTTTCTTTGCACGGATGGAGCGCTCGATGTTGGCAGCTGATGCAGAGAAGGTGCTCCGTTTGACTGGCAGAGAATGTTTCAGGCTGCTGGATCAGGATAGCACACCATGCCTGCAGGTTGTGGCCAAAGGCGAGATGACCGAGGAGGCTGGAAGCGTTGCTCTGCTCCAGTGCCTTCATGGCTGCTGCTTTCTGCAGCACCGTCGTCACGACGAGCCGTTGCTCAGCCTATCTAGCAAGTGAAAGGAGCAAGAGCAAGCCAAACGGGATGCTGCTGCCCATGCCGGAGAAGAGGAGCACGTGGAAGAATGCAAGGACTGCACGATACCACACGGATTAGGCTGCAACCGAAGATGGTGGGATGATGCAACCGTCACTCCTGATATGTGCAGCTTTGCATTTCGAGAACGGGGCACTTGTTGACACATCCCTGAAAGTGTCAGGAGGTTGACGTCGTGGCGGCTCTGTGGCATTAGACAGCATGTTGACGTTGATTGAATGACCCTCTGTACGCTTGCAATCCGACTTGCCAGGACATCCTGAAGAGCATCAAGACGTGCCCGGATGCGTATGCGATCTTCGAGTCTGAAGCTGCGCGTGATGCCGCAGTCGAGGCTGTCCAGAGTGGAGGCATCGAGTTTGCAGGAAACACCATTACCTTGAACGCGTCGCGAGTGGAGCCTCAGACGGTGAACTGGAGAAACTGCGCCAACACTGACCTCGTGGTGAAAGCCAAGCGCATTGGTTTTGGCTTCCTCATCATGCTTGCTGGCCTCTCACTTTGGGTGGTGGCCTTCTATCTGCCTTATGCCTGGTTCACCCTGACGTTCAACTACTCCTATGGCCAGGAGCCAGGATTCGTGGCAGGGATGACCTTCTCTATGGTCGTTGTGGCAGGAAATGCGTTGATGTACTTGGTGTGCAGTGAAGTTGCAGACCGGACTAGGTTCATCTATGTGGATGACAGGGAGGTGTGCTATATGCTGCTCTACTGCTTCGCATGCGTCTTCAATGTCGCCCTCGACCTGATCACCACTTACATGGTGGCCTACCGCATCAATGTCGGATTGAGGATGAAGACCTACGACGGCACTTTGCTGGAGAACCTTCAGGCCTTCTCCGATCGCTTCGAGTCCTATGCCATGCAGCGGCTCCTGGCAAACAACCTGTATGCCTATGCCAGGGCCTTAGCTTCGCCTTACCCTCCTGCCCCGGCTGCCCCATACCCTGCCCGAAACCCACTCGAGGCCTTCCCGGCGACGTTCCTCATCCCTTTCTTGATTGAGCCAGTCGCGACCATCTATGCTCCTTACAAAATGATGCTGGCAATTGTGCGTACGCAGCCTTCCATGAAAGGCTTCATGGCTGAGCGTTTGTTGGGAAGCTTGGTCTTCGACCTCTCCCGCTATGCCGATCTGATGCTGGATGTGATGATTGCCGTGTTGATTTTCTTCTTCCCCGGTGGTTTCAACATTCAGATGTTCGTTGGCCTTGCCGGTTCGCACTTGTACATCTACTTTTTTGACCACTACCGCGTGCTGCGATCCATCCAAAGCTGCAACTACGCAGACAAGATGGTTGACTGGTGGTCTCAGTGGATGATGTGCATCCCCTGCGGCTTCATGCTTGCCTGTGTCGTCTTCAAGGCCAATTGTCAGGAAGGGTACCCCTGCGTGGATGGTGACACTATGATCGCTGGTTGCGTGCTCGCTTTCTTTGGCCACATCCTGCTCCATACGTTGGCTATCAAGTTCGTCGTGCCAATGTTCGGCCTTTATGGAGAGTCCGACGGAGCAGAGACCAACACTTACAAAGACTGCTCCAAGCGAATCCCATGCTCTTGGTTCACTGCGAACCCAGTCTTCTGCTTGCGCTCGCAGTACATCTACAAGCACAGCCCTCCCTGCACCTTCTGCCTCCCCGGCAAGGCGTCACACCGGGGGGTTGGAGCATGCTGACTTCATGTGTGCTGTGTGCTGTGTGCATGGCAGCATAGCACGGTCGGTCAGCTCTCTCTGCATTGACATGCTGCAGCATGTCTGCAAGTTTCTGTTGCCATCGTCCCACTGTGAAGACCACAGTACGCTAGGATCTACTGGGGTGCCAGCCGCTGCTTCCGGGCTTCCTGCCAGGAGCATCTTCTGGAAGTGAACGAGGACATCGGCCTCTACTTTGATGATGCCCCGGCCAAGGAAGAGGACTACGATGCCCCTCATGTGGATGTTGAGGCGGTGAAGGCCAACCTCCACGATCTCCGCGGCAAGGCTTCGGAGAGCTTCGAGCAACTTCGGGGTGCCTTGGCTGAACTGGGATTTTCCTAAAACAAGTTGTGCCCATGGTACACGGTAACATCCTGGGGTAACGGATCGTCGCTCCGACAGCATGCTATAACAAACTAAACCCGAGTCTGCGTCAGAGAGAGAGACTGGAGACCCTCAGGCCTGGTGAAAGAAAGGGGGCGGAGAGCTGTCAACCGAATACTGCTCGAAGCTGTCTACACACGTGTACATTGGGCTCAGCTGTTCTCAGCCTGCCCTCCAGATCAGGCCTTTCGTTGATCCATTTGTTAATGTTTATCGCGGTCTCTCCGCATGTGGGCTTGGCACAACATACGAAGCACAGCCCATGACCCGTTCGGAATCGTCAGCTCCCGAGATCCAAGGAAAGGCAAGCGGACAATTGGAAGAACTCCGCGGCAAGGCATCAGGACACTTCGAGGCGCCCGTATGCTTCAGCCCGCTCCTTCAACCCCCGGTGTACTCAGATGCAAGACTCAGAGCAGAACAGTCCACGTAAGCTTGAATCAGGAGCTGAACAAGCAGATGTCTGGCCGCTTTGAGGATTTGCAGGGCAAGATGTCCGGGATGTCTGCTGGCATGTCCAGCACTTTCGAGGACATGCAGGGCAAGATGACTGGCATGTCTGCTGGAATGTCAAGCACCTTCGAGAATTTGCAGGGCAAGGCCGGCATACATCCACACATCCCAGCATCCCAGCATCCCTCTTTGCAGTTGTAGGCTAGTGCAGGCTGAAATGAGCTCACACTACGCGCTGCCTTGCTGTACTCGTATCGCTAGTTCTGCATGTCTGCAGTCTGCTTGCCAGATGACTGGCTCTGGCTCCTGGTTCGCGAGCAAGGAGAAGGAGAAGGAGGAAGAGACGGAAGCTGCTGGCTCCGGCGAGACCGGCGGGAAGTGAGGACCACGGACCAGCATCAAACCGACCACCAGTGGCAGTGGCCCAGACTGAAAAAAATGCGACTCCAGATGCCTCCTCGCTCTCGATGGTTTGTTGAGCGCTTCTGTCATCTGACAGCGCATTGCAGCTGCAACTTCTGCAGCATTTGGTGCACAGATCTTGCCTGGCTCAGGACAGCACCTGCTGCGCAATCCTGGCATCGTTGACAAGATCTTGAATGCTGCGGACCTCAAGCCTAGTGACACTGCCTTTGAGATTGGCCCAGGAACAGGCTGGAGCACAAGGAAATTTGACCCCAGGTCTGTCAAAGCTTATCCATGTGCACTGCTCTTGCACCTAGTGGACAGTCTGTAGGCAACCTTACCCAGAAGCTCGTGGAGAGCTTCTCGGCTTGATAGAGCCAAGCCCTTTGCGTTTGACTGTGTGCTTGGTCTCATGCTGCAGAGCAGGAGATTGCGAACTCCGATGGGGTTCAACGTCATGTTGATGCATGGAAGCTTGTTCTCTGTTTTCGCTACTCCCGTAGCCAAGGCTGCAAGAAGGTCATTGCCTGTGAGATCGACCCGCGCATGGCAGCAGAGGTCCGTAAGCGGATCGCCTCAACGGGGCGCACCAACTTAGAGGCGAACACTTGCTTGAATCTGCAGCCAAAGCTCGCACTTGTGCGGTTGTGACAATTCTCCTGGCAGGTCAAAGAAAATGACGTCCTGAGGGAAAAGTGGCCCATCTTCGATGTCTGTGTTGCGAATTTGCCCTACCAGATTCTCAACTGCACGTCGGTGGGAGAGGGCTCCCCCCCGAGGCCGAACCCTTAGAGAGTCCGTGAAGCTGAGGATCTCCTCGCCGTTCACTTTCAAGCTGCTAGCGCATCGGCCAGCCTTCCGCTGCGCGGTGCTCATGTTCCAAAAAGAGTTTGCCGAGACACTCGGCTTGAAGAAAGATCGAGAGAAGACTGGAGCAAGCAGCATGAAGAGACAGTAAGATGCAGGGGAGACATTTTCGAACAAGACATGTGGGTATGCAGAGCCTATCTACTAGTTGCGCCCGAGGCGATTGATAGCCAAAGTTGGTGAGTCCCAGAGCCTTGGCTGCATTACCAGAAACCCGTCCAGTCAACAAGCAGCCAGCAGATCGCGAAGCGACAGAGCCCAGGTATGGACGCCTCGCTGTCAACACGAGCTTGTTTGTGAAGGTCAGCTGTGTCTGCAAGGTCGGGCGAATGAACTTTACACCACCGCCGGAAGTCGACTCGATGGCCGCTGGTTAGCAAGTCAGTCTGCCCGTGCAGTGTTGAGCTAACACGGATATAATGCTCGTGTGCAGGAGTGGGCCCAGCAAGTTCGAGTAGACTGAAGTGTATCGGGGTGTAGAGTTCAGGCGAACATGTGGACATGTGACATATGCAACTCGAGAGATGGGTGAGTCTAGACTCTGCAGTTACCTCGCCGACCTTGCTTCTTGCATTACTAAGGTAGTCAAGGCCAGTCCTGAATGAGTGCTTGGTAAGTTCGGCAGCCAAGCAGTGGAGCAGCCCAGACCTAGACTGCAGGAATTTCTGGCAGTGAAGCTTTGAGGATGCAGCATGTGTGCTCACCCTGGCAGATCGTGCCGAGATTTCCCCCGATCGAGGTTGACTTCCGCCCCTCGGCTACACAAAGCGACTAAAGGAGACGCTTGCAGGGCCTAGCACCGTTGCTGCTGTACTTAGCTACTTGTGCTAGGGTGCTCTCCTGTTAGTTGGTGATTTCGTCTGAGGAGAGTGGGATGGCCTTATGCGGATATGCTTCGGGCGGAAGCGAAAAACCCTCCGATCGTCTTTCTGCATGTCCTATACTCTGAAGACTTTGGAGGCAGGAGAGCGAGTGAGCTCCAGCAAGACCAAACGAAAATTCTTGGAACCCGGAAAAAGAAGTGGTTTGTATCGGAGTGACAGCAAGTGATAGCTCTGGAAGTGGACGAAATATGTAGGCGGCATTGCACGGTTTCAGCATGGAGGACAACTACACCACATGGTGCGCCTTAGCGGGCTGCAAGCCAGACAGGAGAAACATGAAGGCTGGGATGTGAACTCCACGAAGACAGGTTTCTATCACCTTTGCATGGCGCTTGAGAGGACAAGGTGGTGGAGGTCTTAGCGGCTTTGAAGCTGGCTGACAAGCGGGCTATCAAGAGACCTTGCTGAAGTTATGCGGGTTCCGCGTGGTTCACCTGCAAAGGTTGAGAGTCGAGAGCTTGTGGTTGTGGATCGCAGTGACGGTCAGAGAGGATCGACTTGGACACCTACTTCAAGCTGCTCCTGGAGTTCAACAAGTGGCCGGGCAACAAATTTGCGAGTGCGATCCTTTCAGGAAGCCAATCATACCTGTGCATCGGCTCCAGCTTGCCGAGGCGTGGAATTCACTTCACCAACATCAACGTCGGTGCGAAGATTGGCCACGCGAATGGAATGGGCTCAAAGCAAGCAAGACCAATGCACTGTGCACTAGTACCATCAGCGGAACGTGCTGCCATCGCTATCTATGGTTTGCCCACGCAGCCCGAGTGTTTTTCGAGCAGCCCCTCCGCCTTAGAGAATCGATGCCAATCGATGCTGATATTCGTGGAGGGCTGATACAGGTAAGTTGATGGCCTCGTCGCATCCAGTGCCCCATATCTCAGCGGTGTGGTAACATCGCGAGGCCCAGAGGACTTGTCATAGTCGCGATGCGCATTTTCGTCAGACTCATTTGTCCAACTTGATGAACTGCGCTCCTGGCACACTGCGGTGCGCATTTTGGTGTGTTTTGGCTTGTTTTTGCTTTCAGAAACGCACGTGCCCTCCTCCCGAAATCGTGCTCCTTACCACACTGCGACGTGCATTTGGCTCCGATTTCTGACCGTGCCTCCATAAATCGGGCTCCCACCACAATGCCATACACACATTTTTGTGGTGGGACTCGTGTTCCCGCCACTGTGTGGTGAGTGTTGTGGATGTCAATCCAGCTCCCACCGCGGTGTGTGTTGCCATTTTGGACTGATAGGATGGTGCCGATGCTTTCTGGAGATCAGAGTTGGACTGCTTCAGGTAAGGGTAGTACCCACCAAACTCCAACGAGGTGAATCTGATGCACCACAGCTGCCAGATGATCTCTTCATGGAAGATAACGATGACGGCGACGAGGAGATGGAAGACTGAGGCTTTGCATCAGCGGCTGCACTCGATTTGCCAGCTTGAGCGTGTAGAGGCCCAGCAAGAAGCAGGGCCTTTGCAAAAGCTCGATGCGTTGATAAATCAGGACTTGCTTCCAGTGAATGTAGCCGATGTTTTCTGTGGGTTCAGCTTACTCCTGTGCTGCGCAGCCTTCCTGGTCCTGTTCTCACCCAGCTCGAGGCCTTTGCCTTCAACCTCCATCCAGAATAAGCGGGGTTGGAGTGGAGGGCACCTTGAGCTGAAAAAGGGCATCTGTACTGTTTTGCCCATCGAGCATCAGCTGGGAAGATGATCACGGTGACCACCAGTCGTACTTTGATGGCTGCTTTTTTGCTTGGACGTTTCGGTGGCTGTTGCGGCTCTGCCTCTGCAGAGACACGAGATCTTGGGCCGGCAAGACAAGGCACGCATCAGGATCCAGTCTAAGCATGTGTGTCTGTGTGAGTTGTCCGAACTTGTTCGGCTCTGCCTGCCTGTGTGCCTGCCTGCATGGCCTGCACGGCTCGTCTTTGGGTCCGTCTCTGTCTTTGCCTGTCGTGCTCCCTCTCCCTCTCCTCTCTCTCTCTCTCTCTCTCTCTCTCTCGCTCTCTCGCTCTCTTGCTCTCTCCTTCTCTTTCGCTCTTTCTGCCTCTGCCTTCGTCGCACCCTTTGGCACTGCTTCTCAAAAATCGGACGTGAGGCCGGCGATGCCGCGGCTTTTCAGATGGCTTGGCCTCTGCCTGCTCTGGGTAAGTGTTGCGCTGGAAGATTTTCACGAAGAGGACGGCGTGCTTGTACTCACCGAGAGGCTTGTCCGCGGAGGGCATCCCCCGTAGTGATGCAGCGAGGGGAGCATCCTGGGCACTCCTGTCATTTGTGACTCCCTAGGGTTTTGGGATATTTTTGAACGTTTGTCTTCAGGAACCTTGTTGTCCAACAGCCGACCAGGGAGTCACAAATGACAGGTGGTTCAACGGCTGAAAATGGAGACCCTTCCAGGGTTTTGGTACATGCCAGCACATGCACCGATTGCTTTCATGTTTGAAACGGAAAACTGGGAGTCACAAATGACTGTAGTCAGTTTGCCCAAATCTGCAATATTTCCTAGGCGCGGTGCTCATTTTTAAGAAATCTTAGTTTTCCCTGGGTTTGGTGCATTTTCTCGCTGAAAATGCAGTTTTTCCTAGGCTTCGTGCACTTTCGCACGAAAGTAGTGTTTTTCCCTAGGAGAGGTGTATTTGTCGCACAACGCACAACCATATGCCTCCTTCCAATTCAGAATTATATATATATATACATATATAATACATATATATATATATATATATATATGTATATATATATATATGTATATATATATATACACAGACATAATCAGTTTAAAATATAAAATATATATGTATTATATAGTATATATTATATAACCTATAATATATACTATATAATGTATAATATAAAATATAATGTATAATATAAAATATAATATAATATAATAATATATATATATATATATATATATATCATATATAATATTAAAAGTTATTAGATAATATATAGTATATAATATATAGTACAAAATATAATACATAATACATAATACATAATGTGTAAGGTATGTATTATATGTCATATTATGCAAAAGTATAATACAAGAGCATACAATATAAAATTAATACACTTTTATACAAGACAATATATTATAATGTAATATAACATAATCTCATGCAGGAATATATTGTCTAGTATTACATATGCAGCTGATCGTCGTCGCTCAAAGGGGTGAATCCAAGAAGAACCTTTGACCCGAAAAACTCTGGGGTGAATCCAAGAAAACCTTTCACCCAAGACGAAGACCCTAAGGAGTGTACCCAGCAACATTCTATTACCGAAAACGAAAAAACCCTAAGGAGTGAATCCAGCATGAACCTTTAGCCGAAGATGAAACCCTTAGGGGTGAATCTGAGAAGAACCTTTCACCCAAGACGAAGACAAAAAGGACGGAACCCAGCAGGAACCTTTTGCCCAAGGTGAGACCCTGTACCCTAAACCCTTACACCCCAATCCCAAAACCCTAAACCCCAGCAACATTCTATTACCGAAGACGCAAACCCTAAGGAGTGAATCCAGCATGAACCTTTAGCCGAAGATAGTGAACCCAGCAGGAGTGAATCCAAGAAGAACTTTTCACCCAAGACGAAGACCCTAAGGAGTGAACCCAGCAGGACCCAGTGCCGAAGACAAAAACCCCTAAGGGCTGAATCCAACAAGAACCTTGCACCCAAGACGAAGACCCTAAGGAGTGAACCGAGCAGGAACCTTTAGCCGAAGATGAAACCCTAAGGGGTGAATCCAAGAAGAACTTTTCACCCAAGACGAAGACCCCAAGGAGTGAACCCAGCAGGACCCAGTGCCGAAGACAAAAACCCAAAGGGGTGAATCCAAGAAGAACCGTTCACCCAAGACGAAGACCCTAAGGAGTGCTCACAGATGACCAGAAGAAGGAAAAGTAAGGGAGTCACAGATGACCGGTGTTGCTGTGTGAAAACCACATTGACAAGCAAGGCAAAAGGGTCGGGAGTCACAGATGACACGTGCTGTTTGAAATCACAGGCCTGCCAATGAATATGAGCACTTTCGGGTGAGGTGATGTGTGGTGATGGCAGGCGGAGGGAGTCACAAATGACGGGAATTGCCTAGGCCAGACCCAGGAACCTAGGGAGTCACAAATGACAGAAATAGGGAGTCACAAATGACAGGAGTGCCGCATCCTAGCGGTCCCGGCCAGCGCCTAAAGCCCAGGAAAAATTTCCGAGCCGCCTTGGAGAAGTACCACTACATCCTCGTGGAGTTCTATGCTCCATGGTGTGGGCACTGTAAGCAGCTGCTGGGCCGGAATACTTCAGCCAGCCCCAGCAAAGACGTCAGCGAGTTTACGATGCAGCCATCCTCTGCAAAGATAAGAGACTGCAAGGTAATAGTTGCTCGGAATCTTTTCATCCTTGGAAATGCTTTGTCGGGTGTGAATGGTGATCGCATTTCGAGATGAGCAGGTTCGCACCAGAGTATGCTGAAGCGGCGAAGCAGCTAAAGCAGGCAAGTCAGCCAATTCCACTTGCGAAGGCGCGCTTTCGTTTCCCGCAGAGTACGCCGCAGTCTAGGTGTGAAGACCCTTCGGACCATCCGTTGCTGCATCTGCATTGGCTGCAGTAGAGCACCCTCCTGTCAAATCAGTCCGTCAGATGGGCCATATCTTCCAGTATCCAGCATGCAGCAACTTTTGCAGATTTGGTGTCCGGCCTGTGGCCGTGCACCAACTCAGCACCGACCTTGACATCTTATCCATCTGCGCATGTGGAGAGGTGGATGCAACAGCTGAGCTGAAGTTGGCCGAGGACTGGATTGAGCAGGCTTTTTTGGCTACTTTCAATTCCGGCCTGGGCTTGTCATGCATGATTCGTGCGATTCGCAGCTCCTCAGCCTTTTCCACAAGCCACCTCGGGATTGGGCGGGCGGTTCCGGCCTGACAATTCTTTCGTGAGGACTACAGCATCAGAGGTTACCCGACCATTCGCCTGTTCATTGCAGGCCGTGACCAGGACTACAGCAGGGCATGCATCAACTCAAGTCCACAGCTCAAGACCTAGCTGCAAGCCACAGGAGTATACTGGTGGCCGGACGGCACAGAGCTGCTTCGCTGCATCTGGCATAAACGCTCTTCAAGTGCATGCCGACGATGGCAAACACCTATGCCACACGCAATGTTGTTCATCAGGAAGGAAGAAGCAGGTCCCACCAACACAGAGCAACAGTTCTTTTGATGTGTCGACAAGCGGCTGAAAACAAACATAGCTGGTTTTCAGCAACGATATGCTTGTGTTCGCTGCTGTTCGAATTGCCGTCGTCATGGTCATGGTTTATGGCGATGACAAGTAGTGCATGTGCTTTTCAACAGCTGGCCACCAAGTTCTCCCAAGTTGTGCTGCTGGGAACATGAGCTTGGTTATCGTTTTTTCCACCAAGGTGTTGTGACATGGGTGCTGAAGAAAGCGGGTCCGCCGGCGATCGAGCTGGAGACTGTCGAAGCCGCGACAGCCTTTGAGAAGGAGAACAGGCTGCTTTGCCCGCAGATCGCTTGCTAGAGTCGGGACATGTCGAAATACAATGACTTCCAACGAAGATCAGCTAGGTGTGTCTGGGCATGTTAACGGACACATGTGCCCGTTTGGATCTATCTTATGTTGTCTTATATGCACCCGGTGCGAACATATGTCCACATGTACGCATGTATGTGTGTATGTATGCATGTATGCATGTATACACAGTGGTATATATTTATGTATGATGGATGGTCGACGTATTTTAAATTGCCTGTTGCATATGTTGTGTGACATGTGGGATTTGACATGCATGCCGTATTTATGGAATTTTATGGATGTATGGATGCACAGATTCATGCATGTATGAATGTATGTGTCTGTTTGTCTGCCTGCCTCCCTGCCTTGTAGCGCCCATACTCATGCTCGTACTCATACTCCTACATGTCGTACGAATACCCAGAGAGAGAAGACTCAGACTCTAACTGGTACTGATACTAAACACGTAAAGCAATACTGATGTTAATGCGAATCCTGTGCAGAAACCAAAGCTATCCAGAGCTATACAATACTTTGCCATATCAAAATAGTAAGCTGTGCATTCATACATAGACATGATGTCGATGATTCTTCTTCCCAATGCCTCATGGACCAAAATGGTGGTAGAATTAGTCCCAGTGACCCCACGAGGATCTGTCTCTTCAATCCAAAATGTGCTCACGGGCTTTGCGCGGGAGGTTGGCAGTGTTCTGCTTCTGCGAGCCCTCGGTGCGGGCAGCCTTCGAGACCGCGGCCAGGCAGATCGAGGACTGAGGATCTACCGGAAGGTTGCCGGCTCGTAGCAGATGTTCAAGAAGCCGTGAAACTTTTGACCCCTTATCTATGGGGCTCGCTGTAATTCCTAGAGCTAGTTGGGTCGGGTTGGTGGGGGCGGTCGGCGGGTTTTTCGGTGTTTAGTGTTGCCCGAAGCCGCTTGGAAGCGAAACTGCAAGTTCTTTTCGGGAGTTGGGTGAAGCCACTAAGCGCAGAGTGGGTGTTTGGGCCAAGGATTCAGAGCTGGGGGTAAAGGTTCGTGGAGAGAAGAGGGAACTTCTGACCGCTCGGTCCCAGGCCGAGATGAATTCTATGAGAGACTTTCGTTATCATCGTCGTATATACTAGCGCAGCTCAATCTTTGGAGGGTGACCTGGTCCATAGCACTTGGCTCTTGGAGTTTTTGCCAACCCAAGAAACTTCAACCCCGACAACCTCTTTCCTAACCTGTGGTCTTGGCTAGAAGGGCGCGGCGCAAGGGCGCTGTTCGATGCCCTCGCATGTGGTATCCTGCCCCACCCGTTGTGGCCATGAGCTGTGCATCGCTGCAGGCGCCTTTTTTCAAGTCGCGACACAGCAGATGCAGCCGGAACCCATAATAGATGCATGTCCTGCCGTGCATTCTAGACATATTTCAGGAATCGAACGCATCAGCATGCATAATCAGCAATCTCACAACTGCAGGTGCCATGCAGGAGGCAAACAACAACTGCCGGTTCTGGTGCTAGGGGTCCTAGCCAATACACGAACTGTACAGCCGACACCTTCGTCGAGACAATGGAGCCTTTGCAAGAGCTGGTGCAACGGCACCGGCTGCAGTTGACCGACTTGCAAGGAGCGAAGAAATCAGGTCTTCTTGCAGGAGCTTCCTCCGAACATGACATCCCCATGAATCGATCCAGCCAAGGTTGACCACCTTGCTGGATGCACACCAATCTGAACTCGAGGTGCATCTCAATACCTGACTACTCCTCGGCTTTGTGTCGTTTGATCGTACACTGTCTCAGGGCCAAAGCAGATGTGTCATGGATCAGACTGAGCCGACCCTACATCTCACAAGCAGGTTTAAGGCTCACTACATTCGTGGATCGGGGTCGTTCTCATGTAAGACTGCGGATGCCGAGTAGGTCAGCCGCACTGTGTGGTCCGAGGGGCATGAGCTGTATCTTCTTTTCTTTCTCACCGCCATCTGTTCCAGACAGGTGGCGATTGCAAGCGGGCCGGGTGCCGCCTCGGCATCGAAATCAGCTGGCAGCGTTGGAGGCCGGAACTTTCTCATCTTCGTCCGAAGGGGTGCGCAGTGAGGTTTTTCGGTCACGAGCACTTGATAGTTCCGCTGCAGGTGAGCGTGGCCGTCTTCCCGCCATCGCAGAGCAGGGTCAAATTGGCGGCTCGCTCCAAGTTCAGCAAAAAGGCGAAAGAGCCGAGGGCGACGGCCTTCCCCAACGCTCGTCATCGGGGCTTTGTTGTGAAAGGGAGCAATTTGTGGACCTCACCTGGTGTGTTGGGTCGTGATCGGGACATGACCCGGGCGCCCCTGAACCAGTCTCAGGGGTTCTGTCCAGTTTGATTCATGTTCTTTAAATGGAAGCCGAAGGAGAGCGTGTGCCGCTTGATGGCTTCCCCGAGAAGGAGGAGCTGAACTTGCCAACAGTCCTCATGGACAGGCAGATGAGCCCGACGAGCCCGACGATCGAATCGAGCACCAACTCCTTGCAATGGAGGGTGCATGCTTCACTTGCTTCACTGGCATCAAGCGACGCGTCCCATGCAGCTGTTACGGTGGGGGCGGTACCAACAGAGAATTCCCGCAATGTTGTGGGTGCAAGCCAACTGGAGCCTCCTCCACAGCCCCCCAAGAAGCCGCAGTTTGGATCCTTCGCGGATTTCTGTGCTGGCATCCTCGTGACGCTGAGCTCCGTCAGCCAAGTCCTTGAGCTGGAGCTCAAGGGACGTTCTGCAGCTGCAGCGCTGGGCATGGAAGACGGTGCAGACTTTACAGGCTACTTACACCTCTTTCGATATTCTAACTCCTTCTTCGACGTTGCCTTCCTAATCGAGTGGGTCATCCTCGTGGTCGTTTATCGGCGAAATCCTTGTAAGTCTGGGGCAAATGCTTTTGACACCTTTCTCGTGGACGCTTGGCCTTAGTATTGAATTTCTACATTCTGCAGTGTCTGCTTCTTGAATTGGTTCCGCTGTTCGTTGAAGCTCCTCATGTCTGCGATTGAAAGACAAGGTGGTCGGCTTGGTGGACCTCTATTTCAATCTTGTCATATGGGTCACGGTCACAGAGCTCTCAGATGCGACGATTACCTGGTATGTCCTGCAGGCTGCTTGCAGGGTCCTGGGGCATGAGTGGCATGAGTTGAGAGGTGCTGCCCGAACTCGGGTCCATGCGGGATCTTTTGTGATAGTCTGTTGAGGCTGTGACGGCCCTGAGAGCAATCCGTATGCTGAGTGGCTTGGCTTCACAAAGCCACGCATCGGCTTGGATAAGTAGAACGTTGCAAGCACTCGTCGTTCCTTCTGTTGATGTATTCTGCTGGCAGTTTTCGTCCTTGCTGCCAACAGCTGCTGCTGCCGCTGCTACTGGTGGTGCTGCTGCTACGATTAGGAGGCCGACTATGACTATTGTACTGCTGCTGTGCTACTACTACTGCTGCTTCTGCTCGCCGAGCGTTGTTGCAGTGTCCCCACCACGGTCCTACTGCTGCTGCTGAGAACTACTGCTACTACTACTGCTGCTGCTGCTGCTACTACAACTATTGCTACCACCACCACCACGACCATCACCACGACTCCTACTGTTACTATTACTACCACTACAACAACAACAACAACTACTAGTACTACTACTACTACTGCCACTACTACGACTACCACGACGACGACTACTACTGCCACCACTACCACTACTACTACTACTGCTACTACTGCGACTACTACTACTACTACTACTACTACTACTACTACTGCTACTGCTACTGCTACTGCTACTGCCACTACTACTACTACTACTACTGCTACTACTACTGAGAACTAGTACTACTACTACTACTACGACCACTACTACTACTACTGCTGCTACTACTACTACTGCTACTACTATTCCTTGTACTACTACTGCTACTACCACTCCTACTCCTGCTGCCTACTCCTGCTACTTCTACTCCAACTACCTACCTACCTACCTACCTACCTACCACTATCACTACCACTACCACTACCACTGCCACTGCCACTGTTATTGCCGCTGCCACTGCCACAGCCACTGCCACTACTGCTGCCACTACCCTACCACTACTACTACGACGACGACGACGACTACTACTACTATTACTAGTACTACTACGAGCCAGGTTTGTGTGTTACAACAACAACTACTACTTCTTCTACGGCCTACTACGTCACCACCACCACCACCACTACTACTGCTACTACTACTGCTACTACTACGGCTACTACTGCTACCACTACTACTACCACTACTACTACTACTACTACTACTACTACTACTACTACTACTACTACTACTACTACTAGTACTACTAGTACTACACTTCGGCTACTACCACTACTACTACTACTGCTGCTGCTACTACTACTACTACTACTACTTCTGCTACTACCACTACTACTACTGCTGCTGCTGCTACTACTACTACTACTACTATTTCCGCTACTAGTACTACTACTTGCCACTCCCTTGCTCCATCCGGGCTGGGCAGTGGCAGCCTTTGGGCTTAAGGGGCTAGGCTCCCTATTTGTGCAGTAGCAAAAGTTGCAGTGGCTCACTTCTTTTAATTGTCACAGCGGGTGAAGTTGCAGAGGTTCAGGCCCCAAAACTGCGACAGCAGCTGGAGTTGCAAACTCGACGGGAAGAAACTGCTAAACCACAGGTGGTCGGTGCGAAAACGCTGTTTATACGGTGCAAAGCGCAGGTGCTGCTAGGAAGGTTTTAACACCCCGGAGTCTGATGCATTCGAGCACGAGTGACAAAAAACCACCGGAAACTGAAGCGCATTATTAACATCAGAAACAAAGATGCCAGCTGCATGTGGGAGGGGCCGCCAACACCGCTAAAGCCCAGACCTCGGCGTAGGAGGGTTCGCTTTTGCGGTGGTGTGTGGTGTGTGCGCACAAGGGTGTGGAGATATTGTTCGGGGTGTCCGCGAAACGGTTCCTCCCACCCATTTCGAGTGTTCGCCCAAAGCTCTCCGAAATCCGAACCTCGAGTTCGCCAAGTCCAGAAGTAGAATTGGAGGCTACACAAGATGGTCCGACATCGAATAATTCTAGAAATACTGTTCGGGGTGTCTGCGGAACAGCGTCGTCATCATCCCCCTCTCCACCCCCTCCACATGTGGATTTGCTCTGGAGATGGTTCAGAGTACTAGCACGTAGTACCACCTACTACAACGTAGTGCCACCTAGTACCACCTACTACCACCTACTACTACCTACTACCACCTACTACTACCTACTACTACCTGCCTGCTACCTACTTCCTAACTACTTGCTTCTGCCTATCTACTACTTAATAACTACTACTACGACTACTACAACTACTACTACCATTACTACCACTACTACCACTACTACCACTACTACCACTACTACCACTACTACCGCTACTACCACTACTACCATCACTACCACTACTACCACTACTACCACTACCACCACTACCACCATAACTACCACGACGACGACTACGACTGCTATTGCGATGTTATCAGTGACACCCCCCACCACTGCCACAGGCACCACCACCACCACTGCCACCATCACCAGCACCACTACGCTGACGTTCAGTCTGACTGCCATAATTTCTGCATTTTGGCTCCGAAAACAGTCATCGAAGTCTTGCTGTCGGCAGTGCTGCGATACTCTGCGATGTTCGAGTTCGCTGCTGACCTCAGGAACTTTCCGGCTTTGTCGTGGAATACGGCTGCTGCTCCGTGCTTGTCCCTCGAATGTGTCAACTCAGGGCTACAGCTGTACTTTGCAAAGGTAGGACAATTGGGGTGTCGCTCCTCCGCAGGTTCAACAGCTCGGAAAGCATAGTGAACGGTCCCCTGAGAACAAACATTATTTTGGATCGGATCTGGGGCATTGACATACGAGAAACCAAAAAAAAGATTCCCCTGCGTGGTAGGGCCACCGGTGGCCATACCTACCACTCAGTGAGCTTAGATCTTAAGCACCTTACACTCTTCAAGGTCTGCAGGCTCGGGAAACGTGAACTGACAATTGAACATGTGCGGTTGGCTTTGCCAAACTGGGCAGGTCTTTAGCAGAAGCATCTGGCACGAATGCTGCATGTAAAGCAAGCTTGGCATGGTGATTAGTCCACATCGCACCATGTGGCGACGCGTGAGTAACCCAAAATGTTACAAGAGATCGCTGACGTCGCCATGTCTTAGGCCATGCCTTCTTGCCATCCCTTGGCTGGGCAATGGTGCTTCTGGCGGTCTTCATGTCCGCTGGTTCCTTGATTATGGGCGGCCTGGCCAGTGGTTTTCGCCTTCTTTCGCGGCGTGGTTTCTGAGCTTGTAAACACTTGGAGAGACCGGGCTCTTCAGGCACACTGCTCCAGCCGTTTATCAACAGCAGCGCAGAATTGGAGGATCGCATGTGGAGTCTCACTTGCAGCTGAGCACCCTGCAATCCGGGAGTGGTGTCTGCACATTGAGTGCATGAACAGAAGATGCGAAGCTCCACTGGTTCGATTCAAAAATTTGTATGGATGCCAAGGATTTGGTATCACTATGGCACTGCGCAGCTTGGGCTGGGATAAGTCCTGTGAAAAAGTCCGGCAGGGCAAACCGAGCCCGTGGTGGCAATGCCCAGTTGCCCATGCGAAGCTGCGTCTGTCAGAAAGACTTGCGTGGTGCAGGCAAAGCCGGGATTTGTATCCTCCTTCGAACTAGGTCTTAAAACTTTGGAGCCGCAGAGTGCACAATAACATTCAATAAACGTCCCAATGCAAGAGCCTGCTCGGCAAAGGGAGTGGTCGTTCCAGAAATGCTCAGGTACCGCTCCTTCTACACTTTATACGAGCCTGGGCAGCCAGAGGCTATGCACATGAGAGGGTAGCAGCGGTCATGCCTGTTCCTACCGTCTCTCGAGTACTATGCAGTATATTTCGCACTGTATTTACTTCAAGAGCATGGACTGATGCTTCAGAGGCCGCAGTCTTTCCTTTTGGTTTAGTCTGACCATGCCTGACTGGAGATGGTTCTCGTTGAGGAGGTGCGTAAACTGTACCGTCGAATCTGTTCTACAAGCGCAAAAGGAATGGGTTCTCAGCCGTCACCCAAGACACAGGACTTAGGACCAGAGAAGTCACGCTGCACGTCACCGAGGTTTCCCTGGGAGAGCCGGGCATCGTTATAGTGCCTCCATCATCCGAGCCGAGTAGCCAAGATGTAGGAGTAACATGTTGCAAACTAGGACCCTCAGGTTCGAGCAGCTGAGCTGCCCGAAAGTATCACTCGGGATAATCTGGGCAGACCAGGGCCCGAAAATCACGGGCTCATTGGGGATTCTCAACGCTTGCACAGAACAAGTCGGACTAATGCCTCCGATGTGCTCGAAATGTGGCCGGGGTACGATCCATAGTCCGTAATGAGATCTTGAAGTTACGAAGCCGACTTCTGCAAACAGAAGCCCCTTGCATAGTTTTTTCTATTCCATGCTAGTTGATGCTACTGCCGCTGGAAAACTCTCAGCCTGATTTCTGAGGAAATCACCTTCGCTGGTAATTGGCCAATGAAAACTCGTCCAGTGATGGACAAGGTCTCCCAAGCGCATCTTGGTTGCGCTAGACCTGAGGACTTATGGCCTTAGGGACTTATAGGACCATTATCGGCTGCAACAAAGTCAGAAACGTGGATCTTTCGCTGGATGGCAATGGGCAAGAGGTGAGATGAACAGTTTGACTGCAGAACGCGGACATGAGGTTTTCAATCTTTTTCCTGATATATGTGACTGTCATTGTATTCGCGATTATTCGAGACTTGGTGGCACTGGCTTCGACTGTATGATTCTGGTCCCCTTGCAATCATCTTCCTTCAATGTGATTTCAGGCTAGCCACTACTACGAAAGACACTTGACACTTGTACCAAAACAGTACAGAAGGGCACACCCAGAAGCAGTTGCAACGACGTCGATGTCCAGTAGCACCAGCAGCATCACAAGCAGCAGCAACCGCCGCCGCCCCCACCACCACCGCCGCCACCAACGCCAACCCAACGCCAACGCCAACACCAACACCAACGCCAACACCAACACCAATAGCATCATCCTGATGATGATGATGATGATGCTGATTATACTATCATCATGTTTGTTGTCATTCTTACTAGTACTACTACTATTATTGGTAGTACTGCTACTTGCAAACATAACCAGTACTTTCATTAGTATTGGTTTTTGTTATTGTGGTTGTTGTGGTTGTTGTGGTTGTTGTGGTTGTTGTGGTTGTTGTGGTTGTTGCTGCTGCTGCTGTTGTTGTTGCTGTTGTTGTTGCTGTTGTTGTTGTTGTTGTTGTTGTTGCCTTCTTTCTACTGCCATGACTCTTATCACTACTACTACTACTACTACTACTACTACTACTACTACTACTACTACTACTACTACTACTACTACTACTACTACTACTACTACTACTACTATTGTCATGATTATCATTATTATTACAGGTATTATTGGCATTACTATTATCATTTTTCTTCTTATTCGTATTATTCCTTCTCATTATTCTTATGCTGTGTTCTTGTTATTCTGTTTTTCTGATCATTCGTATTTTTCTGACAGTTGTTCTGCTCTTTATTATTGTTATTAGGACTACTGATATCACCATCTGGTCAGCATCAGCTGAGGCGTCATTACCGCGGTGTTTCTGAAAGTCCCTTGGCGCTAGAGCAAGACATCTTGGAAGAAGGTAACAGCGCGGATTAGCGGCGAAGGGGCTTGTGCGACAGCGGCGGCCTTCCAGTCCGAGGATACCCTGGATGCTGCCCACAACGATGCCGAGCATTTGGTGGCAGAGGCACTCCGCAAGAAGGCAGCGGAAGTCCGGGTTGATGGGCAGTACGAGAGAGAGGCAGGGATAGAGAAAGCACGAGAGAGTATTGATGCCTGTAGCTGGTTGTGGTTCCGACTGAGTTCACATTTCTGCGTGGATGTGCTGTGCAGGGGTGACCCCGAAGCCCAACGAACGACAGAGAGATTGACCGTCAATTGACCACCCTGTTCCAACACAAACACAGAATCTTGATCAGTGCAGCTCGGGATCGTTGGAATCAGCTGCTTAAACAGGCTGCTAACACCGACTAGACTCAGTCAATTCCCCCCTGCCCTAAGGCAGGGGGGAATTGATTTTCGCAAAGCGGAGGAGAGCCGGCACGCGCACCAGAGCCAGCCAGCCAGCGAGAATAAGTGCACGTCGGATGTTTCGATAGAATGTGTTGTGTTCTTGGTGTCGAAGCTGGGTGTGATGGAACACGTGGTGGCGAACGTGCGATGTCCCTCAGCACGACAACCAACCATCTTCACAGTCGTTCTCGGCTTGCCCACGCTCGGTGCACTTCGCCCCGGCCTTGATGGCAAGCAATCGAGCAAACAGACGCGAGAGGTGTAAAGAATAAAGCTGAGCTTATGCCGTGATGCGAAGCACAGGCAGGTCGCGCGGAGTGGCTTCAGATTCAGCCAGAAGGAAGCTCACATGTCTCAGGCCAACCGGCCGAAAGAGCACGAAAGGATTGCCGAACGAAGAAGATTACCAAAACGGGTAATGCATGAGGTGTGTCTATCTCGCCACGTTTCCGCTATCACATTCTGTGTCCATCTGGAGAATCATAGGACGTCAGGTTTGGTTTTTTGTTCCTGACACCTAGCCCGAAGTGTCCGGCGGCGAGGACTGCTGCTTACTATCCTTGCAGGTTCGCAAAGCAAGCTCGCGCTCCCGCACATGTGCTCAAGCGCATGCTTTTTCGAGGATTTGCATGTGTGTGGGTGGGTAGAACTTGGCGGAGATGCTGCTGATGAATGCTGGCAAGTGTGGCGGGGGTGCGGGGGTTTGCTTTTCGATCGGCCCACTTGTCAGCCCAGCTTTGTGCGGAATCGTGCAGGCAGAGTACGTGGAGAAGCTGGAAGGTGACTTGCTTGCAAGCTTTGGTTGAAGTGCTTTGTCGAAGCAGGACAAGAGCAGCCGTTTTCGTGTCAAGTCATGCCGATGTCATCCGCTTCCTTCTCCTTAGACATTCCATCCATGATTCAATCCATGTCTGAGTTGACCGGTACAAAGCCTGAGTTTCCTGATTCCCTAGTGCATGGTTGTGGGATGCCAAGCACAGAGGAGGCAACAGAAGTTCCGGCTGGAGATAGTCAACTCAGTATGGCTCAGCAGGAGGTGGCGACAAAGGCCTTGAAAGGCATCCATGAGAACGGACTTGACAACCTCCAGGTTGAGGCGCTGAAGCAACTAAGACAGCCAAGAGCTTTGCGGCAGGCAGATCAAATCAAGCTCCTCGCAGCTCATGCACAACAAATCCCGGAGAATCAGGTTCCCTTATAAGCAGCCAGAAGCTTCAGATGACCGACAATGAGCGATGCCTTGCGGAGCACAAGTTTCACCTGCAGAACCTAGCAAAGGCGCCTGAACACCCAGAGAAGGCCAAGCGACAACATGAAGTGCCAAAGGACGCATCCGCCCCATCGATGATGATACTGGGTCTCGTGTCACATCACCTTCTGGATTATCGTTTGGATGCAATCTTGGCTTTTCCTTTGTGTAACCGGACCACTCTGGTGCCCTCCTTTAAGCGGCCCGGCATAGCCAAGTGCACGGACAGGGGCCAAGTGCCCATCTTCAGCTCCAAAATTCGCTCCATGTCAAGAAGATCATAGATGACATCCGGAGCCAATGTCAGCAGGATCCAGACAGGGCAAACGAGCTCATTTTCCATTCCGTAGTCTTCGCTGGATAACCAATTCAATTCTTCGCTAGGAAAACTATTCAATTCGCTCGAGCTGAGCTGCACAGTCCAGTAAGTCACGCGGAGCTGGGCCGTACCGGCCAGCACGGCATGATGCGCCGCTGCACTGCACAGTCCAGCTCTGCACCATGCCGTGCTAGCCGGCGCGGCCCAGTAAGCTAAGCTGCACAGTCCACCTCCGGCCGTTGAGCAGAACCTAGAGTTGCTCCGCAAAGCTTAGCTACCGGTACAAGTTGCATGTCTTGTGAAAATCTGAAAGACTTGGTCCGATGCAGGTTGCATGTCTTGTTGCTGTTGTTGTCACTGCTGCTGTTGTTGCTGTTGCTGTTGCTGTTGCTGTTGCTGTTGCTGTTGCTGTTGCTGTTGCTGTTGGTGTTGGTGTTGGTGTTGGTGTTGTTGTTGTTGTTGTTGTTGTTGTTGTTGTTGTTGTTGTTGTTGTTGTTGTTGTTGTTGTTGTTGTTGTTGTTGTTGTTGTTGTTGTTGTTGTTGTTGTTGTTGTTGTTGTTGTTGTTGTTGCCGTTGTTGTTGTGATTGCTAAGGTGTCTTTCAGCAAATCGACGAATCTGGCCAGGGCATGATTACGGAAGCGCGACTAAACGAGATACTGCAGGACCCGAAGGTCGCAGTGTATTTTCAGACGCTGGACTTGGACGTGCATGAAGGCCGGGTTCCATCCAAACTTCACAACGGTGAAGCTTTCAGTTTCCAACACGCAGTCGTCCCAACTCCAACCGGAGTTGGATTTTGCATGGACGACAGGCACAGCTTTGTTCCACATTCTGGATAACGGAGACGCTGGCCGTTCTGAAAATGTTGTTGATGTTTATATAGTAATTATAGTGGGTTGTTAAGGGCACAATTTGCGAGTTTTGCGGGGCATCCAAGCGAAGCTCAGGACGGAGAAGTCACTCTCGATGCAGCTTGACTGCAGTGAGCACCATTGAACTGCCATGGCCACAGCCACACAATATCCGCGTCAGAGTTTCACTGTGAGGAGTTCATCAACGGCATTCTGCGCTGCAGAGGGCCAGCGAGAGCCATAGACCAAGTTGCAATGCGAGCCGAGCTGAAGCACTTGGACTTGAAGCTTGCCAGGCCGGGGTCAGACATGTTACCTGGGTGTCGTGCGTGTACTATGCAAGGAACAACGTGCTGCCCCTTGCCCAACTTAGCATGGATGTACACTGCTCAGGTTGACGAAAACATTCAAGGAAAGTGGCTTCATGAGGAATCTTAGCATATGCACCGTCACGTGGCCGCTCTTCGCAGACTTGCGCTGTCTTGCGTTCCTTGCCTAGGAGAAAGGACAGTGGAAAGGATGTGGCTGGCCGCCGTGGCGATCACATGAAAGTTTTCCGATTGGCAGAACCGGTGAACCGGTTTGCACGGCTGACCAGCTTAGAATAGCTAGTGTAATACGCAGACGCAGGATCAGTAGGGGGTGATTCCTTATACTGTCCTGTGCCTTGTCCACATACTGTACTTGATAGCCTGGCCTGAAACGAAGTGTCCCGGCAGTTCAGTCGCAGTGAAGTAAAAACCACGAAGGTTCAGCCAAACTTTAGGGCCACTCGAGCGGGCTAGGGCAATTCACCAACGAATGTGCAGCGATGTGCTGCCCTCCAGAGGGGGTCGGCGTTTCTGCACGAGTGAGCCATCCAGCTGGTGGCAAGAGTGATGAGATGTGATGGGTGTGCCGAAGGGCTTTGACGACTGTGTCGTGCTCTCCTGTGCCCGTGCCTGCATCGCTCATTCCGTTTTCGTCTGGTGGAGGACGTGATGTTTGCTTATAGCACGATTCCCGCTGTTGCCACCAAGTACCAGGCAGGACCAGGAGTTGTGGGCAAAGGTTGTTGAGTGAGCAAAGCAGAGTAGGCAACGAGAGAACATCAATGACTCATAGCAGAGAGCAGCCCTCTGCTTCGCAAGACGCTGTCGGAGCAATCCCGGCAGCTAGCCGCCAGCCTTCAACACACAGCCGTCAAAAGCAAAGATCCCATGAGACGTTTGCGCTCAGGCCACTTTGCCGACAATTAAGATGCTGTTCCCACACGACGAGCAGTCTGCGACGTTCGCTGGCGACTTGAGCAGTGCCGAGGAGTCTGGGCTCAAGTGGGCGCGCTACATTCACTACATTGTCACTACATGATGTCGCGGCTGATTGAAGTCCAGAGGGGTCGCGTTTTCATTCCCTTGCCATGCCTTGATCTTCAGGAAATCGAGGCCTTCGTCAAGAAGTTCCGGCAGCCCATGATCGCAGATTTCACCGGCGTCACACGTTTTGCAGTTGGTAGAGGCCAAAGTGGTCTTTTGTAACAAACTACATCCCCAGCCCACGCCGCAACCCATCCCGATGGCGGAACAGCACAGCACGGCCCGCCCCTCCCAGCTCGAGCAAGGATAATCCGTATCTGAGGAAACCGCCGCAGATCTTTTCGGGGACGGACGACCAATCCTGTTCTTGTTCCGGGATAAGGACGACAAAGGTGCCACTGCACGCTATTGCACAGAGCCGACGAGTTCGGAGTGGCCAGGCAAAGCTGCTGAAAAGGCTCTTCAAGCCGTGGCTCCGCGTGCCTCGGCACGGTTACGACGGCTCCTACTAGTATCATCATTGGAGTTGAGGCTTTCCCAGTCCACGCGTAGTCCACGCAGGCGCCACAGCATGCGACAGTCGCGAAAGGTTTACAGCGCAGACTGCTGCTGTCCGTCGCCGGCTCTAGCCGCCTGGCACAAACGGTCGGGGTACAGGATGGCCTTTAGGTTCTTTCAGCGTTCTGGGTTTGTCGGACGGAACGGACAGCGCATGACAGCGCCTCTTAAGTAACAGTTCTTAGGTGAGAATCCCCTCGGTTCTCAACTTTGAAGCGCACGTTTGTTTAATTCTATCGTCGAAACAAGACAGTTTCCGGACTTGAGGGTACCATGGATGTCTTCACAAAGCCTTCTTCGTTCGAGAAGCCTCCAACATCAGCCAACCAGAACTAAGCCGTGTACGGCACATGAAAAGTTACGTTGCCTGGCGTGCGGACCCCTATCCGTGAAGCTCTCTTACAGCCGCTTACAGAGAGAATGAAGCCCTTGTGAAGCTTTGATCGAGCATGATGCGAACCCCTGCGGCGAACTTTGCCAAAAGACTTGTTCGTCATGAACCCCATCTTGAGTAGGCAGTGCATCCAGCGGCAGTAGTGGCAGTAGTGGCAGCAGCAGCAGCAGCAGCAGGAGGAGCGGCAGGAGCGGCAGGAGCGGCAGGAGCGACAGGAGCGGCAGGAGCGGCAGGAGCGGGAGGAGGAGGAGGAGCAGGAGTGGTAGTAGGAAGTTGAAGCATCTTCGCTCCACCGCGCCTGCGCCACGAAGGCGAGCCCATGGATCAGCGGCTGATGGACTATGTCAGTGTCGAAGCCGAGGAGGGATACCCTCGCGAGTAGCCGAACGGCGCTACCCCATCAGGTTCCAGGCAGAGCACGCCTAGCAGCCTAGCAACACGCAACGGAGCAAAGGGAACTGCCTACCTGTCGGAGTCGATGGCAAGCCGATGCAATCCGTGACCCGGCCTTGCTGCCAGGAGCTTCCGACTGCGCGGCTTGTCACCGAGCCTCAGGGCACAATGTCGAAGTGACCCAGTCGGTGCTGAGACCACTTGCTCTCAAGCGAGTTTCACGGAAGCTCGAAGTGTTCTCCATGAAGCGAGATTCCGGGCAGGTACAGGCTGGAGGATTCCGTTTCCGAGGCATTTTTGAAAGTTTCATGCCCTCTTTGAGTTTGAGGGAGTCTAGTCCTCTTTTGTCGGCGGCATGTAGTGTCATCTGCAGACCTCGCTGATGTCCTTCGTTGCCGACTTCGAAGCTGGTCGATTGAAGAAATACTTGCAATCAGACGCGAGGCCGCATTGCCTTCGGCCTTCTGCTTCGGGTGCATCACTTCAGGAGTGAAGTATCAAGTATGGGGCTGCCAGGCGAACACGGTGTGGTTCTTGGAACCGGTGCTTCCATCTCCGGATACAGTTGTCTCCCATTCTAAGGAGCCGGTGCCGAGCAGCCAGAAGGGCCCAGCCACTCGGATTGAGCAACTTTAACCTTGAGGTGAAACCAGACGCAAGGAAAAGTGTGAGTAATCAATAGCGGAAACTTTGCCTGATGGGGTATAGGGCGGCGGGCCAAGGTGCCCGCCCCGAGACTTCTTCCAAGCTTTGATGTGATCTCCTGTTGTGAGGTCTACACCCTCGTCGGTTCGACCTTCGAGTCCTTGGTGAAAGATCCTGCGAAGGCCCGGGCCCGGGCCGCCCCAAAAAGTCCTCCTGTGCCTACTGTGCTTAGAGGCTTAGCTCCCTTTTCTCCTTCTCCGTCTCGAGGTTTTTTAATTCGATGCTTCGATGATCTTCGATGTTTCGGTTCGGTCCGCCGTGAGCTTTGAATGCCACATGCCACGCAGGATGTTCTGGTAGAGTTCTATGCTCCCTGGTGTGGCCATTGCAAGAAGCTGGAGCCAGTGTACAATGCTGTGGCGACTGGAGCTGCCGTAGTAGTGATGCCATGATCCAGGGAGGAAGGGAGCCTCAAGTCGATGGCGTGATTTTGTTTTTCGGGTTTTCGGATTGGAGGAGCATGTCTGCCTCGATGGGATACAGAATCTATAGGTAATGAAAGCACGGTGTCTGCACGAGGGAACCTGCCTCGTCGGAGCGTTTAGCTTGTTGAGCGGCTCACTGCATCGACTGGGAGCGTCAAGACTAGGGCTGATACTTGCATCCTGCCTGAACTGCAACTGCATATGGACATTAATCTAAAGTCCCATTCGTCAGAGGGGTTCGTCAGACTGGTAGTGAGACTTGCAAGGATTGTGATGTTCGGATTGGTATTTTCTGGGTAGTATAAAATAATTAACAAAGGTGAAACAAAGGTAAAATAAAGGTGATTGAGGAAAGGTGAAAAAAAGGTGAGGGAGGATAGCAAAGGTAAAATAAAGGTGATGGAGGAAAGGTGAGAAAAAGGTGAGGGAGGACAGCAAAGGTGAAACAAAGGTAAAATAAACGTGAATGAGGAAAGGTAAAAAGAAGGTGAGGCAGGATAGCGGGGGGGAAGGGGGGGGAAGGGGGGGGGGAGGGGGGGGGGGGGGGGGGGGGGGGGGGGCGGATGGCGGGGATGGAGAGCCGGCCGGCCACCTTTTTTTCACCTTTTCGAAGTCCGAGTGGCTGGCGGCCACCTTTTTTCCACCTCTGCCCGCACCTTTTTTTCACCTCTGCCCGCACCTTTTTTTCACCTCTGCCCGCACCTTTTTTTCATCTTTTCTGTAGGGAAAAGGTGAAAAAAAGGTGCGGGCAGAGGTGAAAAAAAGGTGCGGGGGAAAAGGTGAACAAAAAGGTGCGGGCAGAGATGAAAAAGGTGCAGGCAGAGAGAGGGCCCCCTCCCCCACACCACTACCCCCATCCCTCCCGCCGCCCTTCCCCTCCCCTCCCCGCCCCCGCCCCAGCAACCAGCCACCAGCGCGCACCCCAAACAGGGGGGGGGGGGGGTGGGCTGGGTGTGGGGGGGGGGGGCTGCTCTTACCTCCACCGCAGCAGCATCAGCAGCAAAAACCACCACGGCAACAGCGTTTCACCTTTCATATCCGGCATCACCTTTTTTTCACCTTTGCCGAACCACCTTTCTTTTACCTTTCATATCCGGCATCACCTTTTTTTCACCTTTGCCGAACCACCTTTCTTTTACCTTTGTTTTACCTTTTTAATGTTTTAGCTGTTTCCAGAAAATACCAGCAAACGAACGTCACAATGCAAGGATTCCTTGGATTCTCCAACTGTGAGCCACGAGCTATTGTCTATTCTTCTTCATGCCGTCTCCGTGTCTCTCCGGTTGAGTCGGATTCATAAGGGTACCTCGCGATCGCTAATCATGCTTCCAAGTGTATTTATTTCCTTAGATGCTAGACTCCAAAGATCTCCAAAGCTTGTTCGGCATTGGTGATCAAAGGCGAAGAAGCTGGAGAGCGTGCCGACCATAATGATCCCTGGCCGGCATGAAATACGGAACCTGGATCGGGGAAATGGTGGGCCTTTTCGGGGGCTTGGTTCTCGAACTCGGAGGACCTTTGAGCGAGTTGGTGGTGAGAGTATTCGGGACATCTCCTGCAATCCTTTGAGGATTGCAAAAATTGATGCGACATCAAACGACGTCGACGGCGTTGATATTGAAGGTTTCCCAACCATAAAGTTTTGGCGCGCCGACAACAAGGACTTCAATCACGCACCTTCTGCATGCAATGCTGGTATATGCTAGCCACTGCACGGAATTGAGATGTGTCTTGAGGTTGGTACTTATACACACACACACAAGCAAAGTGGCAGGAGCAGCCGATAGACTACGACGGTGACAGGGATGTTGCCACTTGCTTGCAAACGGCCACCTGCAGTTTTTACTTTTACAGCTCGTCTTCAGCAGCTTGAACCTCCGAGGCTTCTCTACAACTCTAACTGCATGCGTAAGCTGCATGCATACATCAAACCACGACACGTGCACTTGCCGGTGACACTTGTCCATCCCAGCTGTGCAGTAGCCAGAAGCCTTATGTAGCGGAGACTCTGGCAGATTCTTTGAGGGTCCGGGGTCATGAGCTAGCGAACCAGCACCGGAACGGGCTTACGCGATGATCACGTCTGCACTGAAACAGCGCCCAGGCAATAGGCAGTTCGAGCCTATTTCTTTGAGGGCCGCTGGAATGTCAGCTGTTCACTTCCCGCACTTTAGGACTCTTTCCTGTCCTGGCTGGACGAGAAAGCCGCCCGTCCCTTCGGACGCAGTGAGCTTTGAGCTGACTGCGAGTAAAACGGAGCCATCGGCCTCGTTGCAAGCCTCAGCCGCCTGAGCCGATGGGACTCTTCCAGATTCGGGCAAAGATTTCCATGACAGGCCAGGGCTCCAGGCCTGGGGCAATTCCCGAGGCGCCGGGCTCAGACTCTTTGATCCTGTGCACAGCATACAGCTTCCTGTGTGCTAGGACACCGTTGTCGAGACCGAGGACCACGAATCATAAGTTATAGGCTATAGGCACTAAGCTCTTTGAGCGGTCTTTGAGGGTTGGCATCAGAAGCGCGCAGCTACTGCTTCTGGGAGTTCAGGGTTCTGGTCTCCGTTGGCTCTGGAGGGCTAAGGTTCCTGAGGGCCTTCCGGCTGCCGGCAGGATGTGACAAAGTGCCAGTTCTGCGGTGCTGTCAATGCGGAGGCCGTCAGGGCAGCATGTCGGCCACTGTGCCGGCTTTCTGACAGTGACCGGCGTCGTTTGTGTGGATGTTTCCGCAGGGCACGCAAGAGGCAATGGATGTCCATTACTGGCGCGAGCACAGCGCTCGGAAGCAGAAGCATGTAAAACCAATCTGGTGAAAGCTGTTCATGAACACGACAAGTCACAGCTCAAGGGTCTTCTTTGTACAACAGAGTTCATTCAACATATCACAAGCTCCGTGGCAACTCAAGTTCGGAGTTTTCAGGTGCCCGATGCTAACGCAGTGCCAGTTCTGCAGCTTGGCAGCAGCTAAATGACGAGCTTGGAAGAGTTGTACAAGTACGCGCAGCCGTTCCGACTGGGAGCCAATCTAGCACGACATGATTGTCCAGGTGAGCAGGTCATAGAGATCTCACAGTTGGCTCTGGTCTCAGTATGTGGAGGTTCAAAACGCGAATCTTGTTTCCTACGAAGGTTTCCGTAAAGTTTCGGTGGAACGTTTCTGCAAGACGATCGTGATGGGCGTTCTTGTATGATGTCGCATCGCAACACCTCTAGAATTGTCATTGCTCATGTCTTCTGGAGGGGTGAGTGGACGGAGATTAGCAGCAGTAGTGGTAGTAGCAGGAGGAGGAGCAGCCGCAGTAGCGGTAGCAGTAGCAGTAGCCCGAGCAGTAGCGGTAGCGGCAGCAGTAGCGGCAGCGGTAGCGGTAGCAAGAGCAGCAGCAGCGGCAGCAGTAATAGCAGCCGCAGTAGCAGCAGCAGGAGCAATAGTAGCAGGAGCAGAGGCTGGAGCAGGAGCAGCACCAGGAGCAGTAGCCGAAACAGTAGCAGCAGCAGTAGCCGTAGCAGTGCAGGAGCAGCAGAATCAGTAGCAGTCCCAGCCGCAGCCGCAGTCGCAGTCGCAGCAGCAGTAGCATCTGCAGCACCGGTGGGGCGAGCGGTTCCACCTGCTTCGGGACCTGTGCCTAGGCGTCCCACTGGAGGGAGGAGTGCGAGGCCAGAAGCGCGGCGACCGAAGCAGCCAAGGACCGGATGCGGCGCAATCCGATGCAACCACTTGTTTCATGCATGATGTCTGGTTGCACCATAGCAGGTCTCAGGAGTTGTTGGATGGTGCCTTCAGTTCGGGCATTTGCAAGCAGCTGTTGCCATCATCTGGATCCTAAAGTCCTAAAGCAAGCCGCTGCGGCAGGACCTGGCGCCCAACCAGTGCCCGCTGTGCCGTGCAGACATAGGCCTGTGAGGGCTTAGCAGGCTTGACAAAGTTTGACAATCGCTGATTGAATGCTGTCGGTGACCCCAGGCACAGGAAAAGAGCAGGACTGGCTGCAACACATCCTCCGAGATGGATGCGTCCAAACCTTGGAGAACACGCTTCACAGGGTAAGTGGAGGCTGGTGTGTACGGAGGAAGGCATGCTCATCTGCGCATGAAGGCGCTACATTGAGGCTTCATCTTCCTGACCTCGTTAATCATGTGATAAGCGCTGGACTAGAAGATGGTCACGGCAGATGTTCTGATTGTCGTGCCGAGGCAGGAAATCCCAGGAAATTCCAGCAATTCATCAATGCATGAGGCCAGCGTTAGAGTCTTCTTGCCTGCAGCGCATCAGACAGAAAGCGCAAATCCTGGAAGCTGCAAGTGTTACTATTCAACTCCCACAATACACACTGTTTCAACCAGAGCCACGACCATTAAGCTAGACTTAGAGTATTGCATGCAATGTCTCACCTCAGATGACCAATTCAGGTTTTCTGACCCTACGGTAGCATCGAACCAATTGAAGGTAGTCCCCTCTTGCATGCGAGTCTCTTAAAAGCGGGCGTTCGTCCACGTATTGCTTCATGCGGGCCCTGCATGAAGGTCGCGGAGCGGAACTCTGATGCATCCACCGTTTTGTGTAATGTAACGGGCGGTTCCATGCACGAGGAGGCGGTTTGCATGGTTCGTGCTTCTGTGGCCGATGCTCCTCTTTGCTGCTCCAGTTTCACCCATCGGCTACAGCACGTCAGGTTTCGCGTCTGAAAGCATTGAAGGGGGCGCAGCTAGCAACCTAGGCTCTGGACTCGTTGCGAGAACGCGGTTTCGACGTATCTTGTTTTGGCGGCAGTGCACAAATACTACATATACCCAAGCTTGGTGACGAACCAGTCAGACCCGCTGATATTATTCTCTGAAGCGACTTGTTCGCAGCTACGAAGAAACATACCCTTAGTCAGCATTCCCCGCAACACTGCCATGCGCTATGGGCAGCCTGGGGCTATGTCAGCCAACGAGGCGCTTTGCAAGCTGGAAGCGGCAGCTCTGGTTGAATTGACCTTGGGCTTCGTGTTGTCTTGCGGGACAGAAGCTGCTGTGCCGAGCAGAAACCGCCACGAACTCGCAAGACGACAGGCTAGTGCGCGGTGGAAGAGAGCTTTTGTGATTCATGTGCACGAGGGGCAGACCGAGAGAGGGAGAAGGAAGAGGGCTCACTCTGCAAGCCCGCTTGGAGACCTGTCTGAGCTGACTGCAGAAACAGCTTTGCCGCACACGAATGCATTTTGTGTTGGATGCCGGGATCTGTGATACGGCACCACGGACGTAAGTTTGTTACTGTGGCTTTTTCGATCCCACCCATTCCGGGTTTTCGGTTGATGTTCCGGGCGGGGTGTGTTTGATAGCCCGATTTAGCCCGTTCGCTCGGACGATGCTGATGTGCTGGATCATTTCATACTCAGCTGCCCCGATCGGCGAGCGAGTGGTCGGACGAATGAAGATGCGCGGTGTGGATGTGTTCAGGATTTGAGACTGCTCGGCCGAGCCCACGGTCGCAGCAAAATGTTGAGCAGTCGGTCGACAGCGGCATACACGCCCATACACATACGAATACATGCATAAGACATATGTATATACACACAACAAAACAATAACTAAGAAATAAACACACATGTGTATATGTATTTATCTGTATTGGCCCACGTACACACACACATATGCATAGTTACGTATACGTATACGCTTATACAGAGATATGTATACGTATATACATACGTGCATACGCTTAAAATACATATTAGTGCATGCATGCATACATGCAGTTACATACATACATACATACATACATACATAGGTACATACATGCAGACAGACAGGCAGACTGTCTGTCACAGACAGCCAGGCGCACCGTACCGTACCATACCATACACATCTACATGTACAATACGTTCCTGTATATGTATATGTTCATGTATATGTACCTATATACTGGTATATGTAGATGTACATGCGTTATATGTGCAAGCAAGGATTCCATTACAAACTGCTTTGTCGTGAAATCGATCATTCTCCCATGCCCTGGTCCTCCTGCCTCGCAGGTCGGGGGAGGGGGGGGAACATGGGTCAGGTCATCGCACTGCAACCCATCGCCAAAATTCGAAAGAGGGAGCAGGGGTGGAAACCGCAACTGCAACTTGCACTTGTCAGGTCCCGCCTACTAAAAGGATCGGGGGTTGCATTATCAGGCTCTTCGCTTTCGTACATAGTGGGCCCCAGAAAATTTATCATAATCCGCAAATCTGCCTGTCCTGTTGGCCACCCCCAGGGTCACGTATTGTGGATGGAGGCCTGAGGTCCCCCCTTCTCCCCGTGTTCTGCAACCTGCCCCCACAAAAACAAAAAACAATCATGCAAATGACGATTACGTGCCAGCTACTTATGCGACCATCGAGATGGGAAGTTGCCCAGCGTGTCGAAAACTTACGAGAGTCAGGGGGAACGTGGCACCGAAAAGTCCATTCCCAGCGACTAGTGAGCCAACCAGCTCGATCCATCTGACTTCACAGACAGGGACAGGGGGGTTGGCGGGGGGCTGCAGCCCTGGACCCGAGACCATGCATTTATCAGCGGGTGCCAAGGCCGTAAGCTTTCCGTCAATTACATCAGGGGTATTCCCTAAGCAGCAGGGTCCTGACCTTGGCACGGTCTCCTGCAAGTGTCGCAAAGTCCCAGGCAAGCCAAAGCCTGGTCTCCTGCATCGAGTGCCCGATCTGTGACTTGGTTGTAGTTCCAGAAGAAACATGCAAGGCAGTGCTTGAACACATTAGTCAGCAAAACCACCGGTGTCCGAGATATTCAGGAAGCAGCTGTGCGACTTTTATCAGCATCACAGAACGCGGCCGAATCACCTTGAGTGAAAGGGCTCTTTGTTTATGTCATGCACAGTACGACGGGTCGACGAATAGCCTTTGGTCAGCTCAAGGGTTTAGGGAGTCTTCAGGTGCGACATATCTGGGCGGGATTCACACCAGCCTGTGCAAAAAGGGTCCATGCTGCAGCTCTGAGATCCAGGCGGGCATGTGCAAGTCTCTGCAAAAAGGCTCCATGCTGCATCGATGCCAGCAGCTGCAGGTGCAAGCTGTACTTTAGAAGGTTTGCGACAACTGGCACCTAATAATGATGCGCGAACCCTTCACCTTCGAGCTGAGGGCATGGGCTGGGATGTGTATTGACTGCCATGCGATTCGAAGTAGTTGCCCGACAGTCTCGGGGAAGCACGAGGATGTACACCTCCCGCTGTGTAGGCCCGAACGCAATCCTGGTGTTGTTTGAAGTTCTGGTCAGCATAGGCATGGAGATCATGACGGAGGCTGCTAGTGGCTACTGCAACTCGGTCGTGAAGCTGCTGGACGCAAAGCCCCATGCAACGAAACCCATGATGGGCCACGCTTAGTTTGACCACATGATAGCAGCAAAGCGCAGCACAGAGCCTAATCAAGGCCCGCTGAGGTTCATCTTGATTTGTGGCATTCATGGTCTCTATGCACTAACTAGTCTCTGTCCCGGTCTTGTACAGGTCCTTCAACGAGGATTGGCATTGCTCCAACAACCCACACCCACCAAGGTGGGCACTGCTTCTGCATTGGCTGCTTTGGCTGCTCCTTGAGTTCCTCTTTTAGCTGCCCAACGTGCCGCGAGTGCCCTGACCACAAGTGCTGACGCCTATTATACGGTATGGCGAACGGGAGACAGCCTATAGGGTCGCGTAGCATGACGACTGATTTTGCGGGGTTAGCTTTTGCAGGCAGACATCGAAGGCGACGTAGATGAATTTTCACATGTTTTCATCACAGGCTGGCGAAAACGATGCCTACCCTCTCGATAAGACCTGAACACTCTTACACGCCTGCGCTCAGGCCAGTTGTGGACCTGGTCCGACAGATACTTGGCATTTCATTCACAGACTTTCCATGTGAGACAGCAGCTATCGCTAGACTTCAGGACCGTGTGTTCATCCAAGGTTTACCGTGGAACAGGTTGCCGCACACATCCCTATCTTGAAGGAAGACTGGGTATATCTGGGATACAGCACTCTTGCACCACCTCCGAAGTCAAACGTGCGGTTACCGTTTCAGAATCCGGAGCTTGGCACGGGTATGTTGCGCACTAAAAGGTGTGAAGATCGAATCCTCAGCCCTCGCGAAAACCCGAGTACCGGCCTTTGACCATGGTGGCAGGATGTGGCGCTGCAAGTCGGGGTAGCACTTGCGCAGAAGGAGCTTGAGCTGGACTCGAGCAGGCGACAGTGGCTTTGCAAGTCTTCAGGCTGTTTGTCGGCTAGTTCTAAGATTCGACACCACTCGCTGAGGCGTGGCTTGATGGAGCTGGAGATGTACAAAGAGAAGGTGCCTGTATCTCTTGACACTTCCGTCGGCAAAACGAACACATGGTGGATACAACCTTCCCAGGCGCTGCGTTTGGAAGCGGAGCTGCAAGAAGCGAGCCTCCGTCACTTGGCATCAGCCCAAAGCTTTGTGGCAGGGGGGGGCCTTCCGTGCAAGAGGCTTTGCCCAGCTGCGCGAACAATGCGAGTCCGTCGCCGCGCTGCAGAAGCGAACCGAGGAGTCCAGTGCTCTGTCAACGCCCCGTCATGGCACATTATGTAGTTGAAATTCACTCTCACAGTTTGGCGCCTTAGCAGCTGCCCGGATCTCGAGAGCACGGAGAGGCCGAACGGATTGCGTCACCAGAGCACAGAGCGGTTTTCAGAGGACTGGCCCTGACAAGCCCTTGACTTCAACTCTGATGACTACTGGCCATGGTGGCGTTCAGTGACCCAAGCCTGACAGCCTGACCCCAGTTGGATTCCCAATCAGATGTTTTCCAAGCTGATGCAATGTTACCATGCGATGCACGTGCCAAGTTCCATGGTGTGATAGGAGGATGTGGAGGAATTGCAAAAGCAGTGCCTTGCAGCAAGTGGAAGAAGGTAGTTGGGATTCCGACGGATGCCTGTCAGTGGTTGAAGTCGTAGCATGTCGCAACTGTACACGCTTGAGCGGAGCGGCTTGTTGAGGAATCTGCAGCTGCGCGAGGAGTTGCAGCTCCTGCGTGAGCAGGAGGGGAAGTCAGAGGCTGGGAGATGTTCCGAGACATGCTTTACAGTTTCCTTACCTGTGCGTGCAAAATCCTGTCGTGCTGCGGCAGGCGACTCTGCAGAAGACAAAGCTTCTGGAGGATGCTGTCGTCAACATGATGGCGTCTCGGCCAATTCTGCAAAGCCGCGCTTTCTTCGGTGCGCCGCCTTGGCAAGGAGCACACTCACAGCATGCTCAACGTGGCCATCGGTGCTGGCTGGCAGGACACGATTACGCAAGAAGCCACAGACGGGTAAGCCAGTGCACACGAGTCACGAGTCTGCAAGTTAGCCGCTTCGCCTTCCAAGTTCAAGTTCAGTCTCCCGCCGCGTGTGGCTGAGTCTCGGTCTCTGCGAGGAGCTCTGCGAGCCAATGTCCCAAGAGGAGGCCTTGCGGAAGATGGGCCCGGGCCCCGGGCTTGCACTGTGCTTGCGAAGCGGGGAGGCAGCAGGGCGGAGGTCCGTCCCTCTTCTAGTCACCTCAACAAGCCAGCATTCATGCCCCCGCGAGCCGCAGAAATCTCCAAGGCTTGCCATCTGCGTCCACTGCGACTTGCTCAATCGTCGAGTTTGGAGTGGTTCGGGAATACCTGCAGGACATGGGCCAGGAGTGCATGGGAGCCTTGGTAGCAAGCCGACATCATAGTCGAATGACATGCCGTGCATCGCACGAAATGGACGCTCGTGGAATGGATTTTCTCCAGAGCTTACAGTAGTCAAAGGGGCACGGCGAATCTATCCTTCCAAGGCAACATGTCCCTTGGCATTTCCCAAGACCTGCGGTTCAAACTGGAGTATTACGGCTCCAACCAGCACGGCTTCAACGAGGTTGAGATTGAAGGTTCCTGATGCCATGATATGCCATGTGACATTGCAGCAGCCGAGCTCCCTGTGGGCACTGCATGGGTCTGCGAGGCCGAGTGCGAGTGGAAGGCCGTCAGCTTACATTCCTGGGAGTGCGCTCGGCGTCCTCCCGGTGCTACGATGGTGAGCAAGGCTCCCTTGCCGGCCTTGCCCTTGCAATTCTGCTCTCGGCTATGGGCTATGGGTGTGTTGATTCCCCTGGATATACCTAGGCTGTCGGCTGTCGGTTTAGCACGGTACTGAAATGCTGTGCAGCGGCCTTCCAGGCCCGGATGGACTGTCCGAAGAGGTGGCGCTGCCTCCTTTGCAAGGTGACACTACTGCAGAAGCACCGGTAGATGAGAACTGTGTAAGACGGGTGCTGCAATCCAGCTGCGTTTTGCATGGTCTTGCTGCGGTCAGACTGCTTTCCTGCCCGACCATGTAGGTTCACGGAACACTTTGAGCTGGCATGTTTGAAGCAGTGCTTGGCATGTGCTGCAACTGAAGCAAAGGCGTAGTCTGCAGCCGCGGTGACAGCACCTGGTGCCGTGGTGCAGGGAAATTTGAAAATTGGAGAGCAGCCGTACGCCGTATGTGAAGCCATCATGTTTGGGTTTGGGGGCTTGAGACAGTATCTTTGGGCTTGGCTGCAGGTCCATTGCTTGCATGCTTGCTGTGAGCGTGAGGTGGTCGTGGTGCCGCTTGTGTTTATTTTTGATTCGCACCTTTCACCAGGATCGTGCTTCTCGAATTCAGTGCGTGCGCCCAGATCAGTGCCCGTTCCTGAACAGCCTTACATTAGCTGATTGGGGGTTGTCGTTCACATCACAGTTCTCACGATCATGCAGAGCTGGAATGCAGCGTCACGCATGCATGCTGCAAACTGCAGTGGAGCTGTGCCTGTGATCACAGCAACTTTCGACAATGATTAGGAGTTGCCGTGTTCATCACGAAATCCCACATCTGAGGCATCTTCAATGCAGCAGAAGCTTGGTCTTACCTAACGAATCGGTGAGGGTGCTTTCGCAGCTATGCTTTTAATGTTTAGCTGTCGTCGGTTTCGGTGATCTGTTCCAGGACATCACGCTGCTCAAGGACCCAGTGAAGCACTTCCCCGGGTATCAAAGACTGGCCTGGTGAAAAATGCTGAAAGGGCAAGCTCTGCTGCAAATGTGCATGTTTCAGGTCCCTTGGAGAAGGCTGCCCTCTGAGCCTAGAGTCTGTGACCAGCAGGCCATGTCATCACCATGTCAGCTCATGCCGACCTTTCCTATCGTAAACTGAACTTGGCTCTGGAGCACGGGCAGCTGGAGAGACACCACGCTAGAAGGCGGGTCTGTTGCCAACATGGCAGCCATGCGCATCGGGCAGCCTCAGCATCAGTACGTTGCTTGGCAAGTTTTCATGCACTGCTGGCAAGATGTGCTCTTCTCCTGACTTTGCTTCGCTCTGGGATCAGCAGTGGCAGCGTATCATCTGCGTCTCCTGGCCAGGTTGCCGCTCTTGGACCTCCGAACAGGCGCAGCCCCGGTGTCTTCGTGTCTTGCTGTTCTGGGGCGCTTGCGCTCAGAAGCCGAGGCCAGCTGTTCAGCGTCACCCGCACGGTCCGCACGGGCATCAGCAGTGTCAAGCTGAGTCGAGAGGCTGTGAGTGTCAGTGTTTTACACCACCACGGGTTCCACTCGAGCTAGACATCCTCTAAAGGCTTCTTCACAGGGCTTTACAGGAAAGACGTCCGGCGGGAATCGCCATTCCAGCGGGTTGAGAGGCAGGTTTGGATTCGACCAAATGTTGCTAAGTGTTGTTCTCAGCGCATCATGTCCTGTACGATTGCCCAGCCGTGAAGTCAGACGAGCAGAAAAAGCGGACTCATGCCTGTCACCCCGGCCATCCTTGGGAACTGCAGCAAAGGAACTTGGCCAACCGACCCGACAAGCTGTGGGAGTCGAAAATACTGAAAGACATCTTGACTAGCAGAATCCTCACCGTTTCGCCAAACTTCCAGTGATTCCAGTGTCGGAGGGAGATGGTGCTGCGTAGACCAATGGTATCCAATAGTGTCAACAAAACGGAGTGTCAAAAACTTCTGCCCTTTTGGCATCTGGTCAATGACATGTCCACTAAAAGCTCATGCGACCAGGCCCGAAACCTGCCAACCCAGCCTCCCAAACTGGGGTGCTCGAATGCCCAGGTTGTTTCTTCGGCCAGCCGGTCATGCTGTCTGAAGCTCAAGTGTTACTTCAGTCTGGGGCTCTCTTGTCTCCGTTACGGCCCGAGGCTCCCACAATGCGTCACAAGAGAGCATCGGCAGGTCCAGAGGCCGGGATGCCACCAATGCACAGAGCGGGAAACGTTCGCACTGCTTCTTGCTTGTTTTGTGAACTGTAGTATGTGGGCCTGGGTTTGTGCAAGTCCTTATCTGTGCCCATGTTGGTGAGCGCTCGCAGATTCATCAGCGCCATGCGGCCCTTCTGGCTGAGCATGAGCGAAAGCAGGTGCGGAACGAAGTTGCTCCACCAGGCTTTTGCGTGCTGTAGCAAAGCAGGAAATCAATTCTCATTGTTATTGTTGTTATGTGTTTGCAGAGTAGAACTTGTGGAGGAAGATTCAAGCGGTGGATCATCGGCTAAATCAGAGATGCCGAGAGCAGGTCCTGATGCCACGGCGTCTCCCGCTGCAGGCTGCCAGTCCAGAAGCCAAGTGAAATTTCTTGTTATGATGCACGCATGAACCTGCTCGCTACGTTTGCTTCGTGGCTTGACTGAGATCACCTTGCCAAGGAACTGACGATGTCTTACGTTCTAAGCCCATGACAACTCAGCTGTCCGCTGCTAGCAGTGACTGACTAGCAGTTACTAGCAGCCGCCATGGTGCGCCGACTGCTAGTCTTGCGGCATGGCCAGAGGACACGCGGGCTTTAGAACATTCAGCAGCCCCGTCTCGCAGCGTCGTTTGTGGCAGCCTCTCGTGGCTGTGGTTCAGACCACTGCAACACATGGGTACGAAGAGTTCAGATCCTGGAAGCATGTTGCAGTTTCCGTACGGCAATCTCACGACATAGTGCTCGAACCTACACGTTCAACAGGGCTGACGCACTGTTCGAGTCATTGTGGATCTATTGACGAGTATCCTTTGCGCGGAGGCCGGACGAGGTCCCAGATCCATCGCTATCCGCTTTTGGATTCCAGCAAGCTGAGCAAGTGGCGTCAATGCTAAAGCGCGTCGACTCAATTTGGCACTCCCCCTGCCTCCTACTGTCGGTTTCGTGCTTCATTGCCGAACCAGCACTCGCTTTCGAGAGATTAGTTAGTTGTTCAAGGCTGCCACTTCTGTTGGGTTCGTCAGGCGAAGCGGCATTTGCATCGATGCCATCTTCTCATCGCCATTTATACGCTGTTTGCAGACTGCTGCGCCCCTAGCGAGAGCTCTTGGAGCCTTGGCTGTCTGATCCCTCAACCATTCTGGTGACTTCCGGTTGGCGGCAACCCGCAAGATACCAAGCCAAGTTTGTCGTTCATGTGACTTGAAGTGTATTTTGTCCGGCTTTTCAGGCTAGTTATCAACCTCGGCTTGGAGTTTCAGGTTGCAGCAGAAGTCAGCATGACTCGAAGGAGAACGATTCCAGAAGGGTTACCCCGAAATGCCACGCGGGGATTCGGGACACGCACAGGTGAGGCTGTGCTAATTGTTGAAAGATGTTGAAAGTTGAAAGCGAACGACTGCAAAAAGGAGGAGTCGATGGGAAGGTTTTCGCCGCTGAAGCTGCACATGAACTCTGTCCTTGACGGTCCGTGTGAAGAGCCACTGGAATCTGCGACAATCGCACTGGTAACGGGCCCAGCGTGCCAAGATCCGAAGCTAGTGACCAGCAAGTAGCTGATGCTGCTCACAGTTGGTACGAGTTGTGAGAGGTTCTGGCCTGGCTCGTTTCGATCGTTTGCTTTCCTTGGTGCTTCAAGCCTAAACTTAGTTGCTGCTTGCTTTGATCACCCCGCACAGATTGTCGAACTTCGTTGCCATGTTAGGAAAGCAGATTCGCGTCGACTGGGGCTTCAGTGAAGTACTTGCGCACGAATGGCTGCACCTGTGCTGAAGCCATTTAGGAGCGCGCTCATATGCGCTCATTCTTTGTCAGTGTACATCTCGCGAATCTACTTTGTGGTGAAAATTATGTTCCAAAAGCTAGCCCGGGCTACAGCCAAAGCAGTCTGCAGCCTCAGCAAATCAGTCTCAGCTCGACTGCGGGGCAGGTGGCGGTGATCCATTCTGTTGAGCTGCGCATGTAAGCTCAAGTCTGTGCGGGTGCGCCTTGTTAGGCGAGTTCAGTACTACCTGTTGTACTCGTATGCGCAATTGACTGTTGGGAAAGTCTTTCATGCTCGCCACCTTTAGAACTATAGAGAGCTCTGTTCAGCCGGCTGCTTGAGGTATCACGCCAACCCGCTGCCGCAGCTTCACTTTGGCAACTTTCAGATCCTTGGTCTGTGAGTGTTTGTCCAACGAGTTCGGGCATCGCCGGCAGCTGGCAAAGATAGCTTTCGATTGCTTGGCAGAGCAAAAGACAGCCGTGTTGCTTGTTGCCAGGAAGACTGGAGAAGAGTTGCCCAATGTTGCTGGAGATCTCATCGACATCGGATACGAGTCTCCGATTCCTGGATATCCTGACTTCGTAGGCCCAGCTCGGGCAGGCTCGGACGATCCGACGACAATGGCAGCACCCATCAGCTTTCAGCGTGTGTCTGGGAGTACCAGGTTTCTACATTTTTCTGCAGTCAGGAAGATGGAAGCCGCATCGATGCTCGGGCCCGTCACCTGCAGGTGATGCAGTGCAGCGCGCGCGGCCGATAGCGCGTGCCCGAGAGGCCTGGCAACTTCGGACTCCAAACTGGCGGCGCCAGCTTTCCGAATGTTTGGTCGCAGGCGCTTTCTCGGGCCATGCGCACAGAGCCGGTTCCAAGGACCCGCGTGTGTCACTGACAGACACAGACCAGATATGGCATGTAGCTTAACAAATGGCTGCTTCTCTCAACTGAATGCAGGACGCTGCTGGTTGTAGGGCACGGTGCCTCGCATGACTATCTGATTGAGGCATTGCCTTGGAGTGGACGATAACCTTCTGTTCAACTACATGTACCACTTGCTTTGAAGGGATGCATTGGCAAAGCAGACTCTTTTGATTCAGGCGCTGGCACCAGGTTCGCTTCCGTTAGAGCACCAGGCAGCGCAGGGTTTGTGCATGGACAGCTCACTACTTATACAGGGGCACCTCCAGCATCACTACATTGACGAGCTGGGAGGTCCCTTTCTGCGTGGAGAACGTGTCCTTCACAACAGCGCTTCGTCACGAGGATGGCAGGCCGCATGTCGATGCTGAGAGATAGAATAGAATTGAACGGGGGTGCCTTGAGCGGTAGCACGTGGGATGTGAACTGGTATATGAATGGCAGAGCACGAGTCACCAGCGACGCCGCATGAATTCCTTCCGACTCTGCCGAATCAAGCCGAAGGTTCTGCCTGTACGGCTTCAACGAGCAGATTCCACGTTTGCTGGCAGACGGCTGGCAGCACACATTCCAGCCCACTTCAAGGCCGTTTGAGCTACAATTCTGCAGCCACACCTTTCGAGTGCATGCCGTTGACGGGTGTCGGGACGACACCTCAGAGCTGCGAGCGGAGGGTGAGGCTTACAGAACATAAGGCTTCGGGCTGGGAAAGACGAGGGATGCTGGAGGGGTCTCCCAGTCCTGGCTGTCAGGTGGCATAGCACTGCGTAGGATAAGTAGAGGATCTGCGGGCCTAACCCTTCCACAGCAGGAGACAACACGACCAGCGGCATCCGTTTGTGTCCCGATTCGTGGAGTCCGTACAGACGTGACTGGTCAAGGTCCAAGACCGGACAGTGTTTTGGACATCGGTATGGCAAAAAAGCCAGCAAGCAAAGAGAGAGAGAGAGAGAGAGAGAGAGAGAGAGGGAGTCTTTCGCGGGAGGACTGCTCCCGCCCCAAGCCCCGAGCAAAGCAAAGCCAAGAGGCGAAAGACAGAAAGAGAGATGCCTTGCAGCAAAAAGATGAAGAAGAGGAAGCAGAAGAGAGTGAGATTTGCGAGAGGACTGCGGTCTGGGGTTTTGCGTATGTTTAACGTTCGGGGTCGGGGGTTACAACTCGGGAGCTTTGAGCCTACCAGGTCGTTCAATGCCAAAGTCTAGAGTACACCAAAAGCCGACCGCTGAATAACCAATTTGGTGGTTGGGCGGGCCAAGCTCCTGCGGGTCGCACGCGACTCTGAGCCCGGCAGAAGAAAAGAGAGAGAGAGGGAGAGAGACCGCGGGAGGGGGGAAACCCCGTCACCACAGCCCTGGCGAAAGAAAGAGACCGCGGGGGCAAAATCCCCACGCACTTCTGCCCCAAAGCCCTTTTCCACCAAAGATGGGGGAAGGGGGGCGCTTCGGCGCGGGCTCCTCGGAGCTTGACCCCAGTGAAGTGAAGTGAAGAGAGAGAGAGAGAGAGAGAGAGAGAGAGAGAGACAAAAAACTACTAGTGTGGACGCCCAGAACCCGCTTGTCAGGCCAGCTAGACCCACTGACACGTGGACCGTCGACGAAATCATGTGGCGCTGTCAAACTCGATCCTCGGCAGTGGGCAACCGCCAGCCACCGAACCGTTAATTAGTTACCGTCATAATGTGAATCAAGGGTGAGTGAAACGCAAATACACTGCAAAACCCGCATGAGCAGATGTCAGTACAGGGCCATCGGAGTGGCAGTGACTTACCCCAGCTTGGGCACTGAACCGAGGACAAAGCGTTGTCCAGGTGCTAACACCGCATGCCCTCTTCGTGCCGGAGCTTCAGCAGATGTTTCTCCTCGACAGCCTTTCCGGACGAGTCCGAATTTGTGACTCACGAGGTGTTCAGACGGAGGCAGAACCAAGATTCTAAAAACACGTGCGGCACGCTCCCAATAATTACGGGGTTTACTGTGTACATACTTTCGGCTTACGGCCGTTGTATTGTAGTAGGTCTGTCAGCCAATTCCGGCCGGCCTCGACGCCGAACAAAGAAGCCCATGTTGCGCCACAGCGGTGTATGCTGTGGTTCTGCCAAAGAGCAGGGCCAGGAGGGACATGCTGCTCCTGAGAGGGAGCGTCGAAAACCTGCGACACATGCACACTCGGTGTTCCGGTCCCTGGACAAACCTCTGCAGGGCAAGAGGTAGTTTTCCATGGTTTTGTGGCGTGCAGGCATGCCAAGTGCTTCCTGAGGAGGAGCTTCGTCCTGCGCAGGCTGTGCTGAAGGGCATCAACACAATGCACCACAATTTCAGGGAAACTGCATGACTCTGCGAAGTGCCTCGGGGCGCGTAATGACGTAGTAGTGACATAGTGTCAAGTGTGTCCGTTCAGTCTGGCATCCCGCCGCCCTTGCCGACTGCCTGGAAAGCAGCAGCCTTGGTGGGAGCCGAAACCTTCGCTGCAAGTTGCAGCAGAACGGTTGCAGATGTCAGATGTGCGAGCCGCGAACCCTTTCCTTTCATTGCAGAGGTCGAGTACGAGCTCTGCCTTTGCCCAAGTTTCTCGGAACAAACATGGGGGAGATCAGCATCGCCAAACTCGGCAGGGCCGGGGGGTCATCAGCTCGGAGGAGGAGCTTTTGCAGAGGCCAACGAAGCTCTCTGGGAGAGAAAAACGGATTGGGATGCAATGCAGACAGGTGTTCCACGTCCGTCATCGCACCAGCCATACAGGCTACGCAGTGAAGGCGCACTTGTTAGGCCCGCTAGCTGAGCTGCGCAGCGGTTGCAGAGTTTTCAGGTCATGAGCAGATCGAACTTCGCAAACCGTGGCATTGAGTCCGGCACCCAGGACTTTTAAAGTGAGACTCAGAAGTGAGACGGACATCGCAAGGTGTCAAATCGATTGGGAGATTCAAGCCATGCGTGCCGCGACCGTCTACAGAGACCAGCTTGAGGTCCGAAGCTGCCCATGCACCCATGATCGCCCGTGCATTGCCATGCATGTGCCTTTGCGAACGCGACGCGACCGGCTGCAGGAGACGCACGTCTTGCGACTGCTGGACGACACTCAAGACGGCGACTTTGCCCGGCGCAAAGCTGACACCTTCAAAGCCGAGGCTTTCCGTCATTGCTACGAGATCCCAAGGTGTACCTATTGCTAGAGCTTTGTGAGCAAGGCTCCGCACTGCTCTGCAGTTCCCGCCCTGCCCCTGAACCGAGACTGATGCAGCGCTGCAGGAGATCTGCTCCGCAAGCAAGGCGTTCTAAATGAAAAGATGGTGAGGAGCATGGCCTGGAAGCTCAGGGATGCTTCGTGCAGTCCTGCAGCCGTCTGCACATTAGCACCTGTCCAGTCTCTGCCTCTATGCGCTCTCAGGCGAGACAACTCATGCTTGGCTTGCAGGTGGTGCACAAGCCAGACCCCTACTGCCCTACAGTGTCCACAATCCACAGCCCTTGCGACATCCTTTGCTGCCGAGGCTCGGCTTCATCCACCGAGACATCAAGCCCGACAACCTGCTATGCACAGCAGATGGTCTGTGGCACGCTCAGCTGCCCGATCATCTGAGACTCTCAAAGGGCTTGGCCTTGGGAGCAATGTGTGTGTGTCGAGGTTGCGAATTGCAGATTTTGGTTGGTGCTGCCACAAGGAGGATAGCCCGACATGCCTTGCACCGTCCTCAGCGATGATTCTGCCTTTCTGATTTGCAGGCTTAGGCTAAGAGCTGAGTTGGCGGCTGCTGAAGCAACAGTGATGTACAAATTCGACGCGACATGTAGCAAATCGGGTGCAGGCGGGCACCCTGCTCTACATGGCCCCTGAAGTGCTGTCCAACGCAAGTGCCTTATCATGCTGCACAGCGAGGGTTTGCGTACAGTATTGATGTGGACGTGCTCGAGCAACAACCTTATTTGCTGGCAAATGCTTAGAGGTGCCACAGACGGCCTGGACCCCAGAATTCCTCCGCATGCACTCGTGCACGATCGCGAGAACTTGTGAGCTATTCTTCTCTCGAAAAGTGCTTTTCAGGTGAAGGCGGATGTGTGGAGCGCTGGAATGACACTTTTCCAGATGATCGCCGGGTCAAGCTCTGAGCTGTCCGAGTTGGCAGACGCACGTACGTTCTGTGTCGGTCACTGCTGCTGTCAGACTTCTCAGTCCACGAGAGAGCGAGACAGAGAGCAAGTCACAACACTGGTCGCCATCTCAGACAACAAAACGCTTTCCTAGGGCTAAAAGCTGCGGCCATTGGAACCCTTGGGAGTCTGAAAGAACTACTCCTGTGAGATCTGTGTGAGCAAGAGCGTGAGCGGCAGTGTGAGCGTGAGTGTGAGAGAAAGTGTGAGGTTGATGAACGTGAGCGGAAGTTTGAGGTTGAGTGTGAGCGGAAGTGTGAGGCCGAGAAGAGTCAGAGCTTGGCTGTGTGGAAAAAGAGTCAGGGCTGGGAGGGAAAGTAACAGGCCAAGCGAAGAACTACCGGTCATGTTCTCATTGGACGTGAGACAAGTTCAACGTTCGGGGGTATGGAGTTTGGGGCGGGCCCGACTCCCTTGCTTCCGAACCCCGAACTCCGACTCACACTCTCGCACAGTCCCGCTCCGTGAATTCTGGGATCCCGCTCACACTCCTGCTCAATGTTCTGGCAGGCCTGGAACGTAAACGGAAGTGTGAGCGTTAGCGGGAGTGTGAGTAGGAGGGTGAGCGGGACCGACCCCTCAAACCGCCCACCCCACCCCACCCACCCCCCACCCCTGCCAGCCGCAGCCCCGGCCCCAGGGAGCGGTATAGCGATGGTTCTTCATGGGCACACTCTCGCGCGCACTTCTGCTCACACTATTGCCAACCAACCTCAGGAGAACACTGCTCCAAACCAACCTCGACCCTGGCATGCCCGAAGCTCAAAGCATTTGCAGCGGCACACCCGTGCAGGAGTTCACATGTTGGTTCATCCGGTCTGTGCCCATGTTAGGACCAAGCTTTCAGAGCGAGACCCAGTGAAGTCAACATTGCTTCGCCAGCAGTGGCTGCTGCGGGCCGTGCGCTCGGCTTCGGTTCTTGTCTGGACTGTACGGAGCGGCACTCCTGGGACCAGGAGATTGATGCGGTGTGCGGGGTTCTTGGATCTTGTCCGCAGAACCCAGTGCTGAACACCACAAGCCCTGGCAATGTGAGGCCCACCATCGGACAAACTTCGGCCGAACCATGTCAGCCAGATGCCAGGAAGCAGCAGGAACTGGGCACTTGCATCTGTCTGCATCGTGCTGAGGCCCATTAGCATGGGACCTGGTGCAGAAAATGCTGACGAAAGATCCAGCAGAGCGTGCGCAGCTTATGATCTTGTATGATCTTGTTATGCCAAGTTTGGCCTCTGAGAGTGCTCGTTGCAGATTGGCAGAGGTATTTCAGTGGACGAGGCGCTCTCACACCCGTGGCTGCGAGAGCTAACAGAGGCAGCCGGTTCGTTTGATCTTGCGCACTCTGGCCGTATTCTTTCAGCCGTAGTGCTGCTTTTCTGGCCGCAAAATGTTCCCCGATTGAGTTTTCTGTCTTCTGAGCTTGCAAAAGGAAATGTGCGCATACATGCATACACGCATAATCAACATACATATATACACACATACGTACACTAAGTAGGTACGTGCAGCATGCATACATAGCCTAACATAACATCATGTAATCCTGCATTTTACTCACTATAATCTTTGTGCCTCTGCACCTTGGGCGTGTACTACAGTATGTACAAGTGTCACATCCAGGCCGTGATGCTTCAGCAGCTGCGAGTAGAAGTTTCGGATTTCGTGGTTCTCAAGCTGAAATTTGGACCGACCAACAACGGAAGGCTGTTGGACATATAATATATCACCAAGAGACAGATGCCCAGTGATGTCGCAGCCGACATATATATATATATATATATATCTATACATGTCTGGATACCTGGATCCGACTCTGCGCATGTCGTGTCACCAGCGAGAGCGAAGGTGCACCACAAAGACGAATCCGTTCCGGAAAAACCCGGTGTTGTGTTTTTAGGATGGTATCTTGAGGTGCTGCAAGACCTTAATTCGGAAAGCATTCATCGCGCATGGAGTACAGTAGCGTTAAATCCTGCGGCGATTTGTGGAAACCCTCGTTCCGAAGTTGTCTGTACTTGTCTCAAGCCGCTTTGGGAAACTAGAGTCTTCGAGCCCCAAATGAAGACCGAAGCTTAGATGTTGGCTACGAAACTTAACTTAAAGACTTCGGGTGGGGTTTCATGCGCCACTCGCCACCTCGCAAAGCCAATTGGAGCCCTTCACAGTCGGCGAAGATAGCAGATGCACGCCGCCCAAACGTAGTCGCAGAGTTGCGAGGCTTCTTTTTGATGCGAAACCTTTTGTCAAAACTTCAATTCAGCTCCGCAGCCTCACTTGTATGCACCTGGAAAACATCCCGATGCCAGGAGCCGAGTGAGGGCAAGGTTGCGACAAGCCCGTTGCCGTCCCGGCGCAAGGCACGAGAGCTCGTTAACACCCAACAAATGTTTCACAGAACGTCTGAGTGCTACCCGGTGCAGCTCCAGGCTTGCGAGGAGGTACGGTCACCCTCGAAGGACAAGGCTCAAATCTTTTCTACTTCAGATCCGCATGTCTTGGTTTGCGTTCGCTGTTGCTGTTTGTGGGCAAGAATCCAGCGGTGTCCATGCAGATTTGCGGTTGTCGCACGACCGGATACCTGCCTACGGTACGCTGCTATTCAGGTGCCAACGCCGTCGAAACCACGATCTTCGAAGCCGCCTCTGCCTCAGCGCTGCCAGTGCTAGTGGTGGTGGTAGTAGCTTTAGTAGCAGTAGTATGCTAGTGGTAGTAGTCGTAGTAGTAGTGGTAGCAGTAGCAGTAGCAGCAGTAGTAGTAGCAGCAGTAGTACTAGTAGTAGTGGAGTTGGCATTTAAGTGGCAGTGGCAGTGGAAGTCGTAGTGGTAGTGGCTTACTACTACAAGTCGTAGCCGTAGCCGAAATACTTGTAGCAGTCTTCGTCGTCGTCGTAGTGGTAGTTAGTAGTTACTAGCAGTGGCAGTGGCAGCAGCAGCAGCAGTAGCAGTAGCAGTAGGAGTAGTACGAGTAGTACTAGTAGTAGTAGCAGTAGTAGTAGTAGTAGTAGTAGTAGTAGTAGTAGTAGTAGCAGTAGCAGCAGCAGCAGCAGCAGCGTCGTCGTAGTGATAGTGGTAGTAGTGGTAGTAGTGGTAGTAGTGGTAGTAGTGGTAGTAGTGGTAGTAGTGGTAGTAGTAGTAGTAGTAGTAGTAGTAGTAGTAGTAGTAGTAGTAGTAGTAGTAGTAGTAGTAGTAGTAGTAGTAGTAGTAGTAGTAGTAGTAGTAGTAGTAGTAGTAGTAGTAGTAGTAGTAGTAGTAGTAGTAGTAGTAGTAGTAGTAGTAGTAGTAGTAGTAGTAGTAGTAGTAGTAGTAGTAGTAGTAGTAGTAGTAGTAGTAGTAGTGGTAGTGGTAGTGGTAGTGGTAGTGGTAGTGGTAGTGGTAGTGGTAGTGGTAGTGGTAGGGGTAGTGGTAGTGGTAGTGGTAGTGGTAGTGGTAGTGGTAGTGGTAGTGGTAGTGGTAGTGGTAGTGGTAGTGGTAGTGGTAGTGGTAGTGGTAGTGGTAGTGGTAGTGGTAGTGGTAGTGGTAGTGGTAGTGGTAGTGGTAGGTGGTGGTAGTAGTGGTAGTAGTGGTAGTAGCAGTAGTATTGGCAATGGGAGTAGAATCAGTTATCTAAGTAGTAGCAGTAGTAGTAGAAGTAGTCGCAGCAGCAGCAGTAGCAGTAGTAGCAGAAGTAGCAGCAGCAGTAGCCGCAGCAGCAGCGGTAGCGGTAGCAGTAGCAGTAGCAGTAGCAGTGGCAGTGGCAGTGGCAGTGGTAGTGGTAGTGGCAGTGGCAGTAGCAGTAGTAGCCTCTCAGCGTTAGCAGTTGCAGAAGACATAGTAGCAGCAGCAGTAGCGGTAGCAGCCGTAGGAGCAGGAGCAGGAGAAGTAGAAGTAAGTAGATTCTGCTCGTATTGCGACAACGCTACTAGTCCTGCTGCTACCACGACTTCCTAGTACCTCTGCGTCCTACCACAATCACAGTAGTAGGGCTAGTGGTCGGCCAGTCGGCCTAGGGCGAATCGCAGCGTCAGCAGGGGGTGGTGCTGGTGGAAGCAGTAGCAGGAGGAGGAAGAGTAAAGGGAAACGGAAGTCGCATGAGCAGTAGCATGACTGGCAGGATCTGAGAATCGATCGATCCTGCTTGCTGGAAGGAACATGGCATACACTCCCCCTGCCTGGTCCTCGGTTGATTGCAGTCCTGCACCCTTGCAATTCTGCCGCTAACAACAGCATCACTCTTGTTGTGCGGATGTGGGTGTTGCTCATATGGTGGCACCGTCGTGCCGCTCCAGACAGTTGTCGAGCTACTGCGAGGTTTCTCCGGAGGTGACCCCGGAGCGCACTCCCTGGCCGCAAAATGAGTTCCTCGTGCCCGATGAGAAGGAGAACAGTCGAGACCCGGAAGTGCTTGAACCTCGGGGGGTTGCGATTGGCACAGCGCTGGGAGCCCTACAGGGGCTGCGCTAGCATGGCCAGGTCCCCGGAGCAGAAGATGCGCCTGCAGAACTTGCAGATGAAGGTGGAGAACAAGTGGGCTTCGCCCAAGGTCTGGCCGGTACATGGGTGCAGGCGTTGTGGGCTATTTGGCATTTTCTTGTAGCGAATTGTGGAGGTTGGAGGGACTCTCTTGGCAAGAATGAAATCCACCGTCACAGAAGCAGGAAGGTCTGGAGACCCGGCAAATGGAAAAGCAAGATGGCTGTCATTTTATTGAAGCCCTGCTGCAGTCCATATCCTATACCCTGCCTTGCCTGCTTGCGCGAGTTGCGAGAGTCGAAACCCTGAAACTCTCGGCTCATGTGTAGTTGTCACTGTCTCGTTTCGTCTTCAGGCCTAGCGGAGCCCGAGTGTGAGCATCAAAAGCCCTATAAGTCTCAGAACATTAAATTGGGCTCGCAATGGCTTGCAAGCTACAACCTATTGTAGCAATTGTAGTTTGTTGCTCATACAAGGCAACGCCTCGCCCGGATTGCCCAAGCTGTGAGAGTCGAAAGCCACAGCACCTAGCCTACAGCCCTTGAAAGAAGATACGCTGCATGCGCTGCCTGGACCTCTCTCTGTCTTGATGTGCGGAAGGACCACCTGTCGGAGAAGTCCGTCCCTGCCTCAGAACCGATCACTATCCAGGAGATGCCATATAGGCGTAGCTTCAGCACGGCAGCTGAATGGTTGATGGTGGTCCCTTTTGTGCACAAGGCCTGCAGCCAGACCTCGAAGCTGGAGCGCGGCACTTGGTTTTAGTTTTATCCTCCGAGATGGGGGGCTCCACGGAAAAGCTCAACTTCCCTTGACTGGGTCGGTTCGGTTATGCTCGAGCTCCAGCCTTCGGAAGCTTCGGCATAGTGTGGCTGCTTCCTGGCTGCGTCAGGATGTCATATCAGCAGCATAACCAGCTTCGAATACCCCGGATCTGCCAGATCAACAAAGCGTGTGTCCATCCGAGGTCCCCTGCACGGGCCTTCAACATCAAGCCTGGACGCAAGACCATCGCATCGCAAATGTCTCCCTGCATGCATTACCTGTTACCTGTTGCCCGGTTTCAAGTGTGGCATGTTGTTTCACTTGAGCGGCGCAGGATGCGTGATAAGTGCCGAAGAGCTGGCATCCCTCTGCCAGGCCATATTGGGAGCTCAAGCGAAGTTTGGGCACGGCTCCCAGTGATAGGCTTGCGTTGCCCGGCAGCAGGGGTGATGACCGCCGCTCCAAGGAAGCGCAATGGAGAACATGCCGCTTCGGCAGCATGTGTGGCAAATATCTGTCTTTCAGCCTGCAAGAACCGCGGCCCGGTAATCTGTCATGTCTGGAAGTTTGCTGTATTCATGGTGGGCTGTTTTGATTCTCGAAGCTGCGCTGCTCTTTCGCCTTTGCCATTGCAGGCCCTGGAATCAGCTAGGCGAAGGGTTGATTGCTCAGCGTTTGCCTCTGCGATGTGGTCTCTGTGTAGTCACGATGTTGAGTTTCTGCGGAGATTTGAACAGCGCGCATGCCATTCCGATGTCATTGATGCCTTGGCAATGTTTCGGTTGCCACTTCGAGGCATCCGAACCAAGCGGAGCAGCCCGTGCCCACCGCGAAGGCCATGGATGCCCGCTTTTGATCTTTACTTGGAGGGCACTTACAGTTTTCGTGCTGTGCATCGCCAGGGGCTGAGACGATTGTCCGAAGTGCCTGAAGAAGGCACCGCAACAACCAAAAGCTTGGGTCGAAAACACATTCGTCGAAGCATGTAAGGCTAAGGGGCGCGCAGCCAATTGCATCCGCAGACAGTGTGGTCCCGATGTTACCAAGTTTGTCTGCTTCAGGCTGCAAGCCTCAGTCGGAGGGTTGCTCATCGGTGAAAGTGCCGCTTGGCCAGTTGCCGCCAGAGTCTCAGGAACTTGTTGAAGGAGCCAGGGCCCGCCCGCTCTTGAAAAGTCCAGGCGTTCCCCGTTTGCGGAAACCGGAGACTTGCTTACTACCTCCGCGTGATCCTCAGAGATGTAGATTTGGTTGCGTGCAATCTCAGTGGAAGGCAGGCAGCTACAAGATCCTATCCAAGACTTGCCAAGTCTGCCAGCCCATGGGCTCATGCCTCGATGTCCAAGTCCTTGCGAGGCCCCGGCGAGCCGCTTCAACTTGCGCGGAGTCGTCGGAGCTCCGCAACAAAAATTTGGACTTCTGACATCCTCTGCCTCTGACCTTCTGCCCCTGCCCCGACCGCACTGCCGCACTGCACGACGAACCGAGGCCCTGCCACAAAGCGATAAGACAGGGCTGGAGATGCTGACACCTCGCACGGCGGAGAGAAACCCACAGGCCAGCCATGGCCTGCCATGGCCGGATGCCCCTGTCTCGGAGAAGTGTCGCTTGAGCAGCCGTCGAGGCTGTGCCACAGCCTGTCGGTGCACTCAATGCGCCAGCCATGCCAGGCCTCTGGCGGAAGCTGAGCCTCTGCAGACGAATCGAGATGTATGCGTCCGTTTGGAGGTCCCAGAATGAATAACTGGTGTGCCGGCGATGAAGGAAATGCGCGGACAGCGGCAGGAGCCAAGGCCTACTTTCAACATGCAAATGCCTGTACATCCGGCTGTGACGCCCGTGGGCTGGAACACGATTTGCTGCTTCACACACACACAACATCCTGCAACCTGGAAGTGCAACATAGGCTGTGATGGTGCGATGGACGGGATGAGCGGTGAAGAAAACGCTGGAGGGCAGGATTTCTAGCGGCTCTAGGGTTCTTAACTTCCATGTAGCTAGCACTAGCTTGCAATTTAAGTCTGACCAGGCTGTAGCAGACTCTTGGCCAGGTCCCTATGCGGAGCCCAACTGTACCGGAAGCCAAAGTGGCCACGGTGCTCCCTTGGCTTGCCTCGCAGCCCAATGATGATGCGACGACGGTAAGAACCCGGTTTCAACAGGTGTGTACGAGAACGCACTTGGGAGTGGCCCGCAGAGCAAGAAGTTTGGACTTATAAGGAAGGGTGACCTTTTGGGAAGACATCCGGTAATTGAATCGTGTGAGGTGATGTAGTGGGGCGGGGGCCAGCTGGGCTGAGGTGACTGGGGTGGCCGAGTGAGACGATCTTGAGGCGATCTCAAAAGGTCATAAGATTTCAATCTGACCAAAACATCGACCCTGCAGACTTGCCCGGCGGGAATCGAGCCAGGGCAGAGCTGGTCACGACGACTTCATTTCATTGACTGTGGATATCAGGTTGCACTGACTCCGTTCCTAGCTCGCGTGTGGCATGCCCAAGTGTTTTCCAGCATTCCAAATCTCCGTACCATTCGAACGAGATGAGAGTGTGGCGATCGAGTGGGCTGATCCCGTGAATAATCAAGACTGAGACACCCAAGCGAAGCGCGATCGCCTTTCCGCAGGCGATCACGTGGAGTGAGGTGATCGAGCGCGGCAGACAAAGACGCGCAGACACACAAACACTCAAACGCGAACACAGAACACAAACACAATCACACACACACACACCCACACAGAGAAGTTCTCAAAGGATGGTCGCATGCATTGTTGGCAAAGAAACAGATGATGTTGTTGTTGATGATGATGACGATAACGAGGATGAGATGGAGATTTTGGTGCCAAGCACGCCAGAGACAAAGGAATTGCATACAACATCAAGATTCAAGATGAAATGATCCGCGAGGGTGTGGGTTCTTCCCTCGCTGTGTGAGACACAAGTGAATCAGCACGAGAAGAGTCGAAAGTTAACATGAAGAGATTACTGCCCCGCCAGCTGCCCCTCAGGACTCAAGCAGGCAAAGCAGCTAGGTTGTCCTGGGGTGCAGGGGAGGGCACACGACACTGCAGAGAGAGCTTCATTTTGCGTGCGCTATGTAGTCAGGTCATTGCTGAACTGAGGTTCAGAAGGCTCAGAAGCTCGTGAGGGCTCTCAATAGGCTTGGTGGGTTCAATGATCCAAGGGACACCTGATGCCTGTTGCTTGCAGGGTCTTCAGAGACTGTACTATAAGGACCTGCAAATAAAACAAACCGATTGCGGCAAGTGTGCGAGAATGCTAAGTACCATTGTAGCAGCGTTTTTGAACCGCGTTTGTTTAAAGATGATGAGGATAAGGATGATGGCCATGATGATGCTGATGATGATGTCATCACCAAGTACCCTTCGGTAGCCAACCGATGTTTCTCCCAGCATGTCATAGCTTCGTTGCGTCAGGTAGATGCGGTGGGCCTGACGCCCTTGTCAAAGTCACGGGGAATCGTGTTTCCTGATTCTGCCTCACACCAGTCACCAGACCCCACGCACCACACCACGCCAGCTACCCGTACCCACGTGCGATGCTTCTGCCAAGAGAAACCAGCACCTTGAGTCAACACCAATCTTGGCTCAGTGGCGAATTACATGGCAGCTCTCCCCTCTTCTGTGAAACCCAAAGGGAGGTGGTACTTGTGGAAAGACTTCGCCGGAAGAAATCGTAGCTGTTGACAAGCAAGACTACGCTGAGACCACAACCCAGACACCGAAAAGTAAATTAGGGTACCCTAAGGTTCTTCTTGTTGAGACACCCTAAATGTTGTCAATCCGGGCTGCTGCGGGGGAAAAGGTTCTTTTGCTGCGGTTTCTTGTCAAGAAGCACCAGTTCTTTTGTCCAGAAGCGTGCAGGTTATGCATCCAACAGTCCAGCACTCAACATTCCAACCTCGTCGGTTAGGCAAGGCTCAGTATTATGCCGATCACTGTTGCACGGGCCTTCTGAAGCTGTGTGTGCCCGAGCGCTTTCAATAAATTCAGCTGAGTTCTGCCGCTCACCGCAGAGCAGAGGATACCAGCAGGTGCTCCTTGTGCACTGCGTATCTTCTTCCACGAGACATGTTTGATCTTGCTCGCAGCCGGAGCCGCGTGCAGGGCAGCCCACTGCGGCCTCGAGTTTACCACGCCCAGCCCCGCACTTAGATTCGGCGGCTTTGTCGAAGCCTTGCTCGATGATGGCACATCACCCTCAGAGTGTTGGCGAAGCTCTGTTTGCATCCATACGATTGGAAGCACATTTGAGGGAGGCGTTTCGTCAACAGGCCAACAGGCTGATTTTGGAAGGACCCAGCATTCCTTGAGATTGCTTGGTAAATAAGGGTGGCAGCTCGCCCAGCCGCACCGATGCAAAGTGCCCCAGTGCTAACGCAGGCAATGCGTCTTGTTTTGTTTTGCCTTTCTAAAGCCGCTTTGACGAACATGGCGTAAGTGCCGTAGCACCTGTGAGGAGAGGTGCAAAGCCTTTGCTTTTGCCATGTTTCAAGTGAGCCCGGGAGTTGCAGGCGCGCCCGGTGCCGACCCAGACGATGTATGCTCCGAGCAGCATGGCCGGTCGCACTCGCTTGAACCTGCTGAAGAACTTGCTGAAACACAGCATATAAGAGCGCAAGAAGGCTTTCTCTTACAGGACTGAGCGCGCGGACACAGGTTCGACGCAAGGGCAGGTTCAGCCGGAATCCTTGGCAGGCCGCGCTGCCGTTGCCCGCGATGCCCACGTGGGGCCGCCAGTCACCTCCGCGCCTGCTGGGAGCCGAGATGCAGGCATTTTCTACCCGGACCTCGCGACGCCTGCAAGCCTGCCATCAGGCATGCTCCTGTCCATCAGACAGCTCATCGTCGACAGCCCGGCAGGCCGAGGATTGCTCGCTACCAGCTGCAGGAACAGGGGGCTGATGTTTTTAGTCAGGCCTGAGATGGTGGCACCGCCAACGCAACCCATCCGCTTGTAGGGTTCCACCCTCAGAACAGCAGGCTGTGGCAAAAAGGCAGACTTCGGCTCTGAAGACACATTGTTGTGAATGAACCTCGTCCAAGGCCGATTTCTGAAGATCGCAGCCAGCGGAACTTTTGGTGGTGTTTTACAGCCGAGTGCTTGCAATGCTGCTGTGCTTGTGGGAACAAGGGGGCTAGATTCTTAGATGCCACTAGCGGCCCTTTTATCGTCTCCCACTTGGGCAGCCGAATCAGTGCAAAGAACATATTGTGTACAGGGGCCGGCAGTGTCACGAGCTGCAGTGTAACCTTCCCCCCGAGGCATCATTAGGTATCAGGAGTTACTGGGTTGCATGAAATTCCCTAGATTTACTTCGATGCAGCCTGCGCTCTGTACGTCCCGTGCGGGAAATTCATCTAGTTAGATGCACGCATTGGACTGCTGGCAGAAACTTCCCAGGGCTTAGAGCGATTGCGGCACAAGAACTCATAATTAGCTTAGCTTCCTTGCCCTTAGGCTCTGAGACTCAGAGTCGCTTTCCTTTGAGCCGTGGGCCTCCAGCGTCGATCTCGCCTCGGCGTCTCGCAGAGGCTAATTGGAATGTAGGCTAAGCTTTCGCCCAGAGCTTTGCTCGGAAGAGGAGCAAAGAATGCAAGGAAAGTTTTTCGCCCGAAGGCAACCGTACGCGGATACATCACCATCCCAGGCTGGCATGATTCTATTCTCAGTTCCACTTTCAGGCTCATGGGTTGAAGCATTGCGCTGTCTTTGGCTCGAGCTAAGTTGCGTAATTAGTCTTGATGGTCATTTACAGGATAGTCAGTCAGTGATGCAAGAAAGATACAATGACAGGTTGGAAACTTGATTCAGTACGCCAGCATGTAAGCCGACTCAGCGAACTCGGCTAACTTAGCACAAAGATATGTGCAAACGGACGTATTTAGTCTTGCATCGGTCAGGCAAACCAAAGCAGTATGAGCGACTTCTTCGCTTCGTCGGCACGAGCGCGATCACGATCCCCAACGAACACGATCACGAACCCCCCCACCCCTGAAGATACTGAGAGAGCCGCGACCTGCGCAGCACGAGGCTACAAAGAAAGAGGTCAAGCACGCTTAGAGATATGAGACGCATAAAATTTGCCGCCATGCGCTTGTAGTTAGTTTGGTTCCAGGCCGAAAGCTGCCCCTCGCGAGCAGGCAAAATCCAGAATGGGCCTTCTGGTCTCCTGGTCCTGGCTATCATTGAACCATGTCGAGTCCGGTCTAGTTGCAAGCCAGTGCCTTTCTTTCGCAACCAGCAGCCAGTATCGAGCTAAACGGGGGCTTGAACAAGCATGCATTGACAAATTGTCTTGTGTAGAGACGCTGCACTGCTCAAGCGTTGCTGTGGGTTTTGTCAGGTCATGGCGCAGACAAAAGAGACCAAGGAGACGGCCCTGCAGCGGGAGACGCGGTTGACCGGCAATGCCGAGCTCGTGCTGGCGTCTCGGAGTTTCTTGCAAAGCCGTTCAGGCACTCGCATGAAACCTTTCGCAGAACCTCTGTGAAGGCATTTGACCGAAGCTTGCCGAAGGGCATGTTACCTTTCTTGAGGTCAGCCATCGATTCCACACTGCAGGCTGTGGCATGTTAGGGATGGTATGTGCTGTCAGTGGTCCATAGAATGCCAGACAGTCAGTGCATCGCATGCAAGAGATTGTCACATCACTGCTCGCCTGCCAGAGGCAATGTTGGGGCAGAAGGCGAATTCCGTTCTAGCGCGGAAGGCTCGATCTCCTGGAGAAAGTTTTGGCAACTCACCTGACCTGGTCAAGTCGTATTCGAAACCCTTGCAGGTTGTGGGTCGATGGTGCCAGTCTGCAAATGCCAGCAGCTGAGAAAGTCTCAAGGACAGAGAGAACCTCTTGAGCGTCTTCTTGAGGCCGCCGAATTCCGGGAAAAGATCCGGGACTACCTAGGCCGATTGGACGAGCAGGCGAGATTGCGAAGCTGTGCTCCTACAGCTACACACTGTACACCAAGACATGTTTAGGCCTGTCACATCATGTCTGTATGGTGAGCCTCTGTGTGTGTGTGTGTCATCCCTGTAACAAACGGCTAAGTAACAATGCAGAGGGGCATGGCGCTTGTGCTCTTAGCCATGCCAACGAAGCTACAGTACAGAGCACAGGTGGAAGGGAATTTTGACGTACATTCCTACACCTGCAAGAAACTGGCATGGGTGACTGAAGTACTGTCTGCTTCATGACAGTCTTGACATGTCAGTGATGCAGTCACATACTGGCTGTTGTTGGATGAGCCTGGAGACCGGTGAATCTAGACAGTCAAAAAGCAGCAGATCACTAGATTAAATCAGAACATAGATAACCAGAAAAAAGGGGAAAAGAACGTGAGAACAGAGCACATTCCCGACTCACATGTAGACCAAGAGGTCTACTGCAAGTGTGTGTGTGTGTGTGTGTCCGTCTCTCTGTATGTGTGTGGGTGGGTGCGCGCGCGTGTGTGTGTGTGTGTGTGTGCGCGTGTGTGTGTGTGTGTGTGTGTGTGTGTGTGTGTGTGTGGGTGCGCGCGCGCGTGTGTGTGTGTGTGTGGGTGTTTCTGTCTGTCTGCGTGTTTGTGTGTGCGCGTGTGTATGTATATATGGCAGTGGCAGCGGTTCAAAACCTGCTGCTTTGTGACAGGGCCCGGGCGCCCCTCGCGCGACAAAGTTTGTAACAAAAGTGTTTTCTTGCGACAAGGCTGGAGCGACAAGGTCCATCATATAGCATTGCCACGCGACAAAGGTTTGAAACAATGCCGGCGCAACAAGGGTTTGTAACGGAGGGATACGGAGGGGGTAGGCTAGTAGGGTATGGTATGGTACGGTAGTGGTATGGTGTTGACTTGCATGTTGTGTTGTATTGGTGTGTATGGTTTGTTTGTCTGCCTGGCTGGCTGGTTGGCTGTCTGGCTGTCTGGTCTATATCTTCTTTTCGGCAGGTTCTGCTCGGGTTCTACATGACCATCTCTCGTCGAGTGGCCCCTGACTTAGTGGTGCCTATTTCCTGGAAAAAGTTTAGGAAAGCGGAATGGGAAGATAAACTACGTTGACCAGGACATGATGGAAGCCGGCCCTGCCCATGCCCAAGCCAGACCGCCGGGTTGGGGCTGCACTTTGCAGTCCTGTGCATGCATCGGGAGATTTCATGCCTTCAAGCCTGCAGCCATTATTGCCCTTCTTTTTGCATGGCGACCCATGTATATTCAGGTAGACTCTGTGGAGCCATCTTGTAGTTGCGAGAGAGAAGCGGTGCGTCTCTGTCGCGCTCCCTGTCAACGCGAAGGCGAAGCCATGTACTAGCACCAAGTCCACAATCACAAGATCAGAAGCTTCTGCGTCGAGCACCAGTCCAGCCATGGGCAATGCATCATCCCAGAAAGTGAAAGCTGTGGACACGGCCAAGCCGGAAAGCGTCTTGGCAAAGTTCGACAGGAGGTGCGCGGGCCGTTCCGAGCGTATGGGGGCACTGAGGTCGCAAGCAGTTAGCAGTAGACAGCGTCGTAACACTCCTGAAGGACTCTTACCAGTTCAAATCAAGCTGTGAAGGCTTTGAATTGAGTGTCGGGACCATCCACTGCTTTTGATACTTCCGCAGCTGCAGGAGATTGATGGCGCCGTCTGCGATTCGCAGAACATCCTCAGCCTCGGATACTTGCTGGAGCCGCTCAGATGTCGGTGTGTTAAGAGTCCATGAGAAGGGCTTAGTTTCAGAATCCCAGCAACGTGTGTGAGTGTGTTTGGCTCACACGTGCCTTTCATTGCTGGTTTGTAATAACATGTAATGACTATGATCCAACATGATCCAACAGTCTCCTGCTGATGCCACGATACGCTGCATACTCTCACGCTGAGGAGCTTTCAAGTGAGTGGTACACATCGCGTTTGCTGATGTCCCGTCGTTCGGTTTCAAGTCGAAGGCACTCTAGCCCGACGGGCATGCGGCATGCGGTGCCCGCAACAGATGCACTGGAACTATTATGAACAGCGGTTGCGGTGGCGGAGTGGCCGAGCCGAGGTGGATGGATGCGGCGAGCTGCCTGTCGGCGGAGCGCCGATGTGCTCAATTCAAGCGTCATGGAGCCACTAAGAATCGAAATCTCCAATGTTTGAATCTGCTCAGGGCACTGCAGGCGCTCGGCCGTAACCTTGGCCGTGCCCCGAGCCGACAGAGTCTGCCTCGAAGCGGTGCACGAAACGCGGCCTCGGACAGCGACAGGTCATGGACGACTTGGACTTTACGGACACCGCCTTTGAGCTCCTCCGGCGAGGTGCTTCTGCAGCTCCCTCCGCATGCGCATGCGCTTCGCCCGCTGTGCTTCGAAGGAGAGCGCTGCATCCTGGAGGGCAAGGCCTGGACGCGTGCGTCGCAAAGCTTTGCAACTGGCCTGCGCCGGCAGGTGACCCGGGCCTTCGGCAGCTCAATGGAGGCGCCCCCTGTTCGAAGCCACGCTTTTCTGTGCTTTGCAGTTCTGAATTCCTTGCTGCCATGATGGCGATGCTCTCACTGTGCTTGAGCTGGGTTTCCTGCTCCGATCAAAGAGGTGGTCGTCCGAATCTCTGTGGCGCACGTGCACTCAGGCCCTTTGCTTTGAACATGACACATGGCGGGATTCGCATGGATTCGCATAAGGCTGTCAGGGCATGCGATGACAGTGCAGCTTGCTGCCTGCTTTTCATTCCTCACCAACAGTGACGGTGTGAGATCGTTTGTTGTTTACGAGCATCGAGTACTGGAGTGCCAGCCCCGGGAGTGCTCACCACAGAATGTTCCCACTGGCGCGCGGTGCCAGCACGAGAAAGCACCAAAACAGGCAAACAAGGCAGAAACGGACAGGCGAACGCGAAATCAAGGTGCTCAAGCCAAGGTCGAATAGATTGAACAAACACGAGCCCTTCAAGGATGCGGCATTGCATTCCACGCTCATGCCGTGGAGTATCCCTCTAGGGTACGCGGGTAGGATTTTCGAAGTTCGAATATGTATACTTTATACGAGGGGAGGGTTTAACTCGCATCGTGTTGCGGAAATGCGCATCTTTCGGCGACCACCTTGCGATTAAGCATTTCGGAGCCCGGCCTAGCATACATCCACACATCAACCGTCTCAGGGTCACCGGCCTCACCTTGCAGTTAAGCTTTTCGGAGACCAGCCTACTCCCAGTTGCCAAGTCGTTGCGGTGGCAGCGCAGCTGAATAGGTTTTCCAGGGAAATCAGAATCGAATAGGTTTTCTACCATTTCACTGCGATATGACAGATGCAGCTGCAGTAGTGCAACAACAGAAACCAGCGTCACCTTCGTGATTCGCTACGAAAACGCATCAATGCCGCATCAAAATGGCAACAGTCCGTGCCGAGATCACTGGCATCCGCGAGGTTTCGTTAAGTTGGCAACGACCAACAAAACCCAGCTTCACCTTCGGGATTAAGGTTGGTGTGGTGTGTAAATCCGGCACTGATGTGTAATTCCCTGAAATCAGCGTGTACATGAGGTGATGCATATTTCTGCGCCCTGATGTCTGAAAACCCCCCCTACTAACAAATCCATGATTAATTTCTGCGCTCGTGTTCGTTACATTCTATCCGTTCGGCTCTTGATTGAGGTACACTGCGTTTCGCCACTTGAATGCACATCTTTGCGCTGTCTGAGAAAGCCTGGGATCAAGTTGTACCCTTGGTCTTGTATGTGCTTCAGCTGGGCATTGCCCCAGGTTGGCAGCGCATACTTCATGTACGTAGTCTTGAAGACCGAAGAAGAGAAGGCCTGGGCTTTATAGCTTTGCTTCGCAGCTCACTGCTAGGAGCCACGCCGAGGCTGCAAGGGCTGGAACGGCACCATGAAACATGAGCATCTGCTATCGATCTAGTATGGCTCACACGTGCGCAGGGTCACCTTTGAGATCGCATCCAGGCCGGCAACATCAAAGTCGAAGTCCCCGAGCTGGTTCCGATTACGGCGGAGGAAAACTGACTCAGATTTCAGGTTGGGAAGGTTCGATTGAAGCGTGCAGACTCCAGGAATTCAGGAAGCTTCAACCCAAGAGCACGAGAGGGGTTCAGGACTTCTCGTTGCAGCTCGAACGTCGAACGCTTTTCAGCGATCCTAGTTGCCAGAGCTTCTTGTACTCGAATACCTGCAGATCGCTGCAGTCCGAATGAAACCGCTTTCCACAGCCGTACACAAACATGATCAAACATGATACCTCTCTCTTCCGCCAAAGTTGCAACAGATTAGTAGGAGCATCTGGAGTACAGCTTGGCGGAGCGGCGCAGGCCGGTGTCATGGGCAGTCTTACGGAATGGCGGAAGTCCGTGGAAGGTGGAACTTCAAGATGCAATGTCTCACGCGTGTTGGGAGTTCGGAGCTCCCCTCGCCGCAGGAATTTCCGCAAGAACCGCGAGAAGCGCGTCGCCGAGAGGACCAAGGACCTCGCAAGAGCTGCTGGAGCATCGTGTTCCTCAGAGATTTGTTAACTGTTAGCAGCCTTGAGTCCTTGAGCCGTGCGACAAGAAGTTGCAAGCCATCCACCGGTGACCAGCCCAAAGGACGCTACGGCCTTTGAGCCCCAAGGTTCACGAAGGTCCTTCCCCAAAGCTGCACAAAAGCAGTCGCGGTCACTGACTGCGTCGAGACCGGATTGAATCACAATTTCAATACTCGCCTTCGGGACCTTGCACCGAAGGAGTCGGAAGCCGAGCACACCGTCAATTTGTCGCCACTTCAAGGAGGCAACACCCTCCGTTCCGTGTGCATGGGCTGTTTGCATGCTGGTGAAGTCAGGCGGAGCATTGCAGTACTGATATGTACTGATATAATCTAGATGAGGATAACAGCACGAATCCGGAGTGTGCACGGCAGGTTGTGCAGACAAGCTGATATTCCGAGGCACCACACCACATGGTGCATCATGGTGCGGCATGCACGGATGCATGCACGCATGCGCAAGGGCACACGCACACCGACGTATCTCTCGCACGCTTAGAGGCAGACATACTTGCAAATCTTGCAGCACGTGTAACTCGTCGACAACCGCGTCCCCATGCTTTGCCGACTTTGTATGACTTTGTGCAGAGGCTCAGCTCTGACCTTCACCGAGCTTGCTCCTGGGTCGTCATTGGCGGTTTCGGTGCAGTTTGGTGCAGGAAGAGCGGTCGCGCTCTGTAAGCACAGCCTCCGCTGGTTCGGAGCATACAGGTATTGCCCACGCATACCAACCACATGGGCAACACCTTCGGCGGGCAGATCATGGCATGGATGGCAGCCTGCCTGAACAGTGCACTTTCGTCTGCGCTGGGCGGAGAGGAGACTGCAGGTCAAGGGAGCGAAGACGGCTGTCTGGCTGCACCTTAGGCCGGGCTGCTGCTTCGTGACAGGGGTGACCTTCGTGAGATTGAGCACCTGCACGGAAGGATGTCGTGTGCGCCCAAAGATGGCGCTGATGATGGCCGCCCACCCCTTGGGGTTGGAGGCCGGGGCTTCATTGTTGTGGCAATTCCAGCCGGTACTGGTGTTTGTGGACATGTCGGCATAAAACTGTTGCACAGGTGTCGATCGGATCCAAGTGGAGCAGCTGAAGGAAGGATAGTCAGGATAGTCATGAGTCATAACTGCAGAGAAGACTATAAGAGCGATCGTGCTGCTGCAAAGCCGCCAGTGAACTGCGCACTGCCACAGTGTATTGTTTGGACTGTGCCCAGCTGGGAGGATGCCTTCCTGCAGCCTGTAAGCGTGGATACCGTCGCCTGGGCTGAAGAGTGGGAGAGAGGGTTGAAACCCGAAGAGTGGGGTCAGTGAAAGTCTGTGTCTTGTGGGGTAAACTGGCTGCTCATTGCCAGTGTCTGATCCCAGGTGCACTTCAAGGCACCGAGCCGGCTTGGCGACCGAGTCGCCCAGCCACAATTCTCGGAAGGTACGTTATCTCTGCCTGAAGCAATTTCGAAGCCGGTCATTTCCACATGTTACGTCCAGCCCAGGTGCTGGTGACGGCCTCGGTGACGCGAGTCTTTCCCTCAAGCATCGAGGTGAAAGTCCGGGTCACTTCGAATTCGGCCAGCACACAAGATGTACCCATGGAGGCC